TACTTCATTTATTTCTGCTCTAATTTTTATTATTTCCTTCCTTCTACTGATTTGGGGCTTTATTTGTTCTTCTTTTTCCAGTTCCTTAGATTATATTATTTAATTTAATAGATTAGATTGTTAGATTGTTTGAGATTTTTCTTGTTTGTTGAGGTAGGCCTGTATTGCTATAAACTTCCCTCTTAGACCCACTTTTGCTGTATCCCATAAATTTTTGCATGTCATATTTTCATTTTCATTTGTCTCCAGGTATTTTTTGATTTCTCCTTTGATTTCTTTGTTGACCCAATCGTTGTTCAGTAGTGTTTTGTTTAATCTCCACATATTTGTGGCTTTTCCATTTTCTTCCTGTAGTTGATTTCTAGTTCGGTACCATTGTGGTCAGAAAAGATGCTTGGTATTATTTCAGTCTTCTTAAATTTATTGAGACTTGTTTTGTGGCCTACCATGTGATCTATCCTGGAGAAAATTCCATGTGCATTTGAAAAGTATGTGTATTCTGTGGTTTTTGGATGGAATGTTCTGTATATATCTACTAAGTCCATCTGGTCTAATGTATTGTTTAAGGCCAGTGTTTCCTTACTGATTTTCTGTTTGGATGATCTATCCATTGATGTAAGTGGAGTGGTAAAGTCCCCTACTATTATTGCGTTACTGTCTATTTCTCCTTTTGTGTCTGTTAATATTTGCTTTATGTATTTGGGTTCTCCTATGTTGGGTGTGTAGATATTTACAAGTGTTATATCCTCTTGTTGGTTTATTCCGTTTATCATTATGTAGTGCCCTTCTTTGTCTCTTGTTACAGTTTTTGTTTTAAAGTCTATTTTGTCTGATATAAGTATTTCTACCCCAGGTTTTTTTTGTTTCCATTTGCAAGCAGTATCTTTTTCCATCTCTTCACTTTCAGTTTGTGAGTGTCTTTAGAGCTGAAGTATCTCTTATAGGCAGCATATATATGGGTCTTGTTTTTTTACCCATTCAGCCACCCTATGTCTTTTGACAGGAGCATTTAGTCCATTTACATTTACAGTAATTATTGATAGGTATGTACTTATTGCCATTTTTAAAATTTTTTTCTGGATGTTTTTGTAGTTCTTCTCTGTTCTTTTCTTCTTCTCTTGCTCTCTTCCCTTGTGATTTGATGACTTTCTTTCGTGTTATGTTTGGATTCCTTTTTCTTTATTTTTTGTGTCTCTATTACGGGTTTTTGGTTTGTGGTTACCATGAGGTTTTTATATAACAACCTACGTATATAGCAGTCTATTTTAAGTTGATGTTTTCCTAAGTTCGAGTACATTCTAAAAACCCAACATTTTTATTCCCCCCGCACACATTTTATGTTTTTGATGTCATATTTTACCTCTTTTAATTTTGTGTATCCCTTACCTTCTTATTGTAGATATAGATGATTTTACTACTTTTGTCTTTTAACCTTCATGCTAGCTTTAAGTGGTTGATCCATTACCTTTACTATATATTTGCCTTCACCAGTGACATTTTTTTCTTTCATAATTTTCTTATTTCTATTTGTGACCTTTTCTTTTCTGATTAAAGAAGTCCCTTTAACATTTCTTGTAAGGCTGGCTTATTGGTAATGATCTCTTAGTTTTGTTTTTTTGGGTTTTTTTTGCTGAGGAAGATTAGCCCTGAGCTAACATCTGTTGTCAATCTTCCTCGTTTTTTGCTTGAGGAAGATTAGCCCTGAGCTAAGATTGTTGCCAATCTTCCTCTACTTTATATGTGAGTCACCACTACAGCGTGGCTGACGAGTGGTATAGGTCCTCTCCTGGATCCAAACCCATGAACCTGAGTCACTGAAGTGGAATGCACTGAACTTAACCACTATGCCACAGGGCTGGCCCCATGAACTCTCAGTTTTTGCTTGTGTGCAAAACTTTTTATCTCACCTTCCATTTTGAATGATAACTTTGCCAGGTAGAGTATTCTTGGTTGTAGGTTTTTTCCTTTCAGCACTTTGAATATGTTGCACCACTCCCTTCTAGCCTGTAAGATTTCTGCTGAAAGTCAGCTGATAGTCTTATGGGAGTTCCCGTGTACATAACTTGTTGCTTTTCTCTTGCTACGTTTAAGAGCCTCTCTTTATTTTTAATTCTTGACATTTTAATTATAATGTGTCTTGGTAGGGTTTCTTTGGGTTCATCTTGTTTGATACTCTGTGTGCCTCCTAGACCTGGATGTCTGTTTCCTTCCTCAGGTTAAGGAATTTTTTAGCGATTATTTCTTCAAATAAGTTCTCTGCCCTTTTCTCTCTCTGTTCTCTTTCTAAGACCCTTATAATGCAAATGTTAGATTGCTTGATGGAAGCCAGAGGTTCCTTAAACTATCTTCATTTTCCTTATTTCTGTTCAGCTTGGGGAAATCCTCTACTCTCATCCAGATTGCTGATCCATTCTTCTGCATCATCTAATCTGCTGTTGATTCCCTCTAGTGAATTTTTCATGTCAGTTATTATGTTCTTCAGCTATGATTGGTTCTTTTTTATATTTTCTATCTTTGTTGAAGTTCTTACTGTGTTCATCCATTCTTCTCCCAAGTTTGGTGAGCATCCTTATGACCATTACTTTGAACTCTTTATCAGGTAGATTGCTTATCTCTGTTTCGTTAAGTTCTTTTTCTGAAGATTTGTCTTGTTCTTTAATTTGAAACACATTCCTTTGTCTCCTCATTTTGCCTAACTTGCTGTGTTTTTTCCTATGTATTAGCTAGATCGGCTACATCTCCCAATCTTGGAGAAGTAGTCTTACATAGGAGATATCCTGTGGCACCTAGCAGTGCGCTGCCTTCTGGTCACCAGAGCCAGATGCTCCAGGGGTGTCCCCTGTGTGGGCTGCATGTGTCCTTCTCTTGTGACGGGGCCAAGACTGCTGTGGGTATGCTTGTAGGTGGGCCTGGCCCCTGGGCCAGATGGCTGCTAGGCCCCGCAGCATGTGGCCACTGTGGGCGTGTTGGGGGGATGGGGCAGACACCCAGTACAGCTGGCTGCAAGGCCCAATGGCACACAACTGCTAGGGGTGGAGCCGGCTGTGAGGCCCTGCGGTATGCAACCGTTGCAGGTGTGCTGGTGGGCCAGGCAGACCCGTGGTTGTGAGACCCAGTGGCATGCAGACTGTTTCGGGTGTGCTGGTGGGTGGGGCAGATGCCCAGTGTGGCTGGTTACGAGACCTGGCAGCACACAACTGCAGCTGGCATGTGGGTGGGTAGGGTAGGCCCTGTGCTGATAGGCTACAGTGAAGATTCCCAAATACTGACTGCTGGCACCAGTGTCAGCATGGCTGAAGGAGGGGGCTAAAATGGCTGCTGCCAGTGTCTGGGTCCTTGCGGGGAGTCCTGCCTCTGTAGGAGGCACTCCAAGCGTAGTAAGTGGGTCTCTTGGACTACGCACTTTTCTATCTGGTGTTTTTGCACTGGTTTCCTGGTTGAGTGAGTCTGTGCGTGGGCCCTTTAAGAGTGGTTTTCCTTTCCCTGTAGTTCTGTAGTTGTCCTGGGTGTGTTCCCTGTTGATTTTCAAAGCCAGGTGTTTTGGGGTCTCGTCTCTCCTGCCCTGTTTGTTCCCAACCGTGAAACACTGTGGCTAGGGTGTGGCTTTTTCCTCAGTGGAACGTATCTCCGCCTCTCCCACCCCTCTTGTGTTGTCCCTTGTTGTAGAGGCTCTTTTCATCCGGTTTTCAGATCTCCCCCAGGGGAAGTTAGTCCACAGGTAGTTGTAGATCTTCTGTGTCTGCGGAAGGAGACAAGCCCAGCATCCTCCTACGCCGCCATCCTCCCGACTCCCCCTCCCACAGTCCCCATTCCCGACTACATGGTGAGCCGCAGCCCCTTCACCTCTGCGTGCCACGCTCTTGTAGAGGCTCAGAGTAGTCCCTACAGGAATTAATTTAGTTTATAAAGGTAACTTGAAGCTTCCTGAGATCTTCTAGAACATCTCCACAGATTACAATAGTGAATGAAAGCAGTAGGGCATATAGGGTTTTCATATTTTCATAATTCAGCCTTATAATTTCTATACTTGAAGAAATATTTTTTAAAACATGTTTTTTTCTTGTCTCCCATTTTGTGTGGTGGCTAAAAATCCATTCAAATAAAAATATAACCTCTATCTATGATGTATATAATGGAATTACTTTATTACGCTAAATTCACTTCCAGTATATTTATCTCTAATGGTGACCAACATTAGGAAGGAAGAGGGCAAGTAAAGAACAAAATTCAAGAAAGCAATTTCTAAAGTTTGGTTACTACTGAATTTTTATTTTATTTTATTTTTTTGTGAGGAAATCAGCCCTGTGCTAACATCTGCCAATCCTCCTCTTTTTCTGCTGGGGAAGACTGGCCCTGGGCTAACATCCGTGCCTATCTTCCTCCACTTTATATGGGACGCCGCCACAGCATGGCTTGCCAAGCAGTGCGTCAGTGCGCGCCCAGGATCCAAACCAGGGAACCCCAGGCCGCCGCAGCGGAGCGCGTGCACTTAACCACTTGCGCCACGGGGCGGCCCCACTACTGAATTTTTGCTGACTTAAATTACTTAACTTTGCGGACCTCTTGTTTAAAGCTGCGGTAATGATATAGAAGCTGTCAGATCAAATCATTTCACTAAATTGGCTACCAAAATTTGTGATTTCTTTCCCCACTCCACCTAAGTATAGTGTTTCATATTTATCTTTTAAGTTTTAGAAAGAGGAAATTTGGAAGGGACCCTTTTAGAAAAGCACAATTCAACTGATTCGAGAAATGTAAGAACTCACCCAGATTCTTTTACCTTTGTGTTAAAGCAGAATTTCAGATATGACATAGTCGTGGACCTGTACCACATAGCCTTGAGATTTACAGGAGGAAGGTGATTTCTTTTTAAGGAGGAGGGAAGAGAGATATCATGTCTTGCCCCAAGTAAACTAATAATAGAGTAAGGAAGCCAACAGTGTAATTTGTGTTCTCAAATCCTCAGTCCTTCTGCACTAAAATTTTTCTTTTATCTTCAGGATGAAGAGAAAGTTCTACTCGTGGGATGAATGTATGAACTTGAGAGAAGTTAAGGTAAAATCCTAGAGATGAAAAGAACCCAAGAAGGCCTTAACTCTACCTCACGCCTGTCTCATTTCTGAGGACTGTGGCCAAGGAGATGATTCCATTCTCTGTGGGAAGCAGTAGAAAGATACTTATGTTTCTTATGTTTTTCCTTTATCTTCCTAAAGTAAAGTAATTTCTCACTTTTCATCAGAACGTCAGTGGAGAATAGAAAATAATCATACCTTCATATTTGAAAGTATGCCCTCACTTTTAAAAGAGCATTTTAATTCATATTATCAAAGGAAAGACAACTTTTTAAATTACTGCATACCATTTCTTTATATTTTATGCTGTATGACTTGGATAAATTTTTGGAGACTTTTGCATTGAATTGTACATAGTTGAGTCAGAAAAAAAGTTAGACCTATTTAATAGACTGAGAAAAAAAAGTGACATATTGAAATGTTTGGTAGCTATTGTTGACTGGTTTATTTTTGTACTTACATTCATCACTTAAAACAGTTACTTTAGATAGGTGTTCTAAGATGTTTTAGACCTGTAAAATATATATATTAAAACTTCCTTAATGAATTCATAAGAATTGGAAAATTACGATAATTATCATACCTAGCATTGATGAGATTTTGCCAACTTCTATAACTTTTCTTTAAGAATTTTAAAGCTTATTTGCTGTGTTGCAGTCTCTGAAGAAACTTAATCATGCCAATGTGATTAAGCTAAAAGAAGTTATCAGAGAAAATGACCATCTTTATTTTATATTTGAATATATGAAAGAAAACCTCTATCAATTAATGAAAGACAGGTATGTCTTTATTTTATGAAAACTGTAATTTTTTTCCCTGTTATCTCCTCCATAGTTCCTGGGATCCCTTCAAACTGTCACACTTTACAATATACAGATTTATCATTCCAAGGGGTGGATTTAAATTAGTTATCTTTATCAAAGGATAACATCTAACATTGAAGAAGAAACAGCTACGACATAGCCACTGTTTTTCTGTTGTAATCTCTTAAAAGTCAAGATAAATATTTCATATAAACATACATACTATCTATCATAGTAGATCTATCTATAGTTTAATACTCAGTAATAAAGGTGGCCTTGGCTAAAATTGAGAAAATTATCTTCGTTGTTCTCCCAAGCATCTCGTGAAAGTTAATGAAAGAATGGAGGAAGAAATAAAGTAGCTTTCAAGAAAGGATCTAATACACTCATTCATTAGAATGCATAAGTGAATGATAAAACGTAATGTGTTACCAATCCCAAGGAAATTCTCATTTTAATTTTTAAATCTGTGAACAGAATCTCTAAAGAGAGAGAGCTTCAGTCATCTGCCATGAGCTTAGAGAAGATAGTATTTCGGTGGTAACTGCTGGTCACATCTGGGAGATTAATGTCCATTCTGTCTGCTTTTAAAGCTAGAGTTGTTCAACAAAAGATCCTAAAATACTTTAGAAGTAAATTTCCCAGTGGAATGACGTTTATTTCTCTCTCTGAATTTCTTTCATACACACACACATACAAACTCAACGTCTAAGGATGGTGATTAATTTTTCTTTAATCCTATTTTTTCTTCTTTCAATAAATACTTATTAAATGCCTGTTATGTTCCAGGCTGATATCATTATAACATTAATAACAGTTAAAATAAAAGTAAAGAAAGTTTCTACCCCACAAAATAATATTTATTTCTCTAGCATTCTTTCTAGCCCTTGTATACAGGCATGCATGCTTTTTACATAGTTGTAATTTTAGTGGTGATAAATTTTTTTATTTGATTAATTCACTTAAAAGCATTTTTTAATGCTGATACATAATATTCATAGTTACCATAGTTACTATATTCTGTTAAATGACTATACCAAGCTTCACTTATCTCTCTGAACTACTTAAAAGAAATAACTATCAGTAGGAGAATAGGTTAGTAATTATAGGCATAATGACATTTCAGTCAACCACAGACCGCATATATGATGGTGAATCCTATATTAGTACCGTATACCTAGGTGTCTAGTAGGCTATACCATCTAGGTTTGTGTATGTCACTCTATGATGTTTGCACAATGATGAAACTGACTAACGATGCATTTCTCAGAACGTATGCCCGTTGTTAAGCAATGCATGACTGTAAACTTCTTTTCCGTTTCCATTGAAGACCAATATACCTAAACCTTTGCTCTGATACTAACTGTACCTTCAGCATATAGCATTCTTTTTACAAATTTAAATTGTTGTCAAGCATAAAAATATTTTGTTTCTTTGAAAATTTATTTATAGTTTACAAAAGTGAGTTTTAAAAATATTTCAATAATATATGATCAATACTATTTTCAAATTTGATATAAGACCAGTGTTTATCTTCTCTTGTGTGTTTCTAGCCCGTTTGGTGGGACATTTTAGAACATTATATCAGCATATAATTAACAATATAATATTGAAAAATAGGCCATTTTTCGTATGTTGAAAACATCTTGAATAAACATGCTAAATTAATCCAATCAATCATGCTGAAATAAAGATGTTAGAAAATGTTGAAATTATGATTAAGTTTAAAAACTTAAAATGAATACTTCCAAAACATGGAATGGCTTCAGGGTCAAAGAATTAATGTATTGATCACATTAATTTGTGGCATGCTAGAGATTAATATTTTTCAGCCTTAATATAGCCCTTGTTAGGATCTTACTTTAGGCTTTATGTAAATACCATATAAATCTGCACTATTCAGTACAGTAGCTACTAGTCACACTTGGCTGTTGAGTCTTGAAATGTGGCTAGTCTGGATTGAGCTATGCTGTAAATGTAAAATAAATTGCATATCAGATTTTGAAAACTTGGTACAAAAAAAGGTAAATTCACTAATAATATTTTATATTGATTACATTTTGAAATAATATTTGATATATATTGGGTTAAATAGAATAGATTGTTAAAAATTAATTTCACCTGTTTCATTTCCTTTTTTTAATGTGGTTACCAGAAAAATTTTAAATACATAAGTGGCTCTCATTTATGGCTCTTAGTATATTTCTATTGGACATATTTCTATATGCAGTGCCGAACTGAAGCAGTTTTGTCCCTAAGACTCTTAAAGCCTATATAATACAGATTTGCACACTTGGCTTATCTGATATTTATCAGTTTTCCAATTTACTTTGCTCCTCTTGGGACAGTTTAGAATTTAGCTATTGAATATTTGTGCAATACTTCAGTATTGGATTTGAGTTTTTACCAAACACCAAAAAATAAATTCTAATTTTCACATTTTAAATGTATGACCTTTAACACTATGAAGCTATAAATCATACCTTTAGCCAGTCTCATGAGGCCACAGGCTCCAAGGGAGGAGGAACACCTAGCTTCTTGTTTGTTTTGGTTCGTTGGTTGGTTGGTTAACAGAATTATATGACTGTTTATTTGTTCATTTCTTTACAGAAACAAGTTGTTCCCTGAGTCAGTCATCAGAAATATTATGTATCAAATATTGCAAGGGCTGGCATTTATCCACAAACATGGTAGGTTTCTTTTATGTGTCATTTCTCTGCCTCTTTAGATTATTGTCAGGATCATGCACAGGAATTGTATATAAACTTAAATAATGTTATCTTGGATAAGTACAAGTTTGGAGTATGTGCCTATACACACTGACATTTTTATTTTAAAAATTTAGAATTTCTATAATTCTGTATAAAATAGAATTTCTATAATCTATAACTATCTTTGTAGCAGAATTTTTCTAACAATATCATCATCAGCCTTTAGTCTCAGTCATCATAAACCCATGCTGCAACCTCATTCCCCCTAATTTTACCATGGAAATGAAAAAAATAATAAGGCCGCTCTTTTGGAAAAGATTGGAATGCTCTGATCTACCATGACCAATTATTAACGTTTAAATAGTTTAAAGCACCCATGCTATGGTATTTTATAGTTTTCGTTAGTATTTACATTTAGTTCTTTCTATTTGAGTGAAATTAAAGCAAGTGCTTGTACTTATTTTTATGAATTTCTTATTTATGTAATCTTAATTTATATAGTTTTTTGCATATCAAACCAAAATAATTAGTTCAAAAAGTTAATATGATTATTATGAAAATGTTTAGCAAACATTCATTTAGAATCACTAGATGTTTAGATATTAAATCAGAAAAGTTTGTGCCATACCATTGCTGCATTCTGAACACAGTCAGTCAAAAATCACCATCATTAGTCTCCTTTTGTGTTTCATCCTATATTTTATATTTTCTTTTCTCTTTTCTCCTTTAACTGCTATAGGAAATAATTTATTTTCTAAAAATGCTATGCAGAATTCCATATAAGCATTGTCAGAACATTCCTGAATCCCCAGTTTTTTGTCTTATATACACTATCAAGGTCTTTGAAAGTATAAAACCCATGATAATATATTACAATCCATTGGTAAAAGTCATTTATTGGACTTTTACATGGAAATAAATGGTACATGCTATTTTAATTGTTCATAATGGATTCCTGATCTTCAGCCCATCTGTAAACTCTGGTCAGCGTGGTGACTCTTGATATTTGCCTGCGTTAGTTTATACTAATGAAGCAAGTGTGATGTGGAAAATTAAAAGCCTTGTGAATTCTTTGATTTTTGGAAACAGCTTTGTGTTTTACTAATACTCTTTAGGCTAGTAATAAAATTGGTTTAGATTCTTTGGATGTATGTCAACTATCAGCCACTTCAGAGCATAAGGGATTGAAGGAAGAAGTAGTTTGGGATTTAAAAATTGTTGCTGAAAGTAAATAACATATGAATAATCTGGAGTTGGCTTTATAATTGACTGCATAGTGATTTGGGAAACCAGACCCCGAGAACAATAGACATTTTTATAAAAGCTAAATTATTCTTCTATAGTTGATCTCAGATGTAACACTTTGAGAAAATAGGTATTTTTAAAATAGTAGCTGTCAAAAAAGGAGACTAGTATTTTAGTTAAAATGGACCAAGTTACCAATATATTTATATTAGTGAGAATGGGAAAACTTCCACTGTACAAATATGTAATTGGTTTAATTCTCTAAGATTTTATAGATTAAGTCACTTTACCATCACATACTTTCCCATTCTTGTCTTCATATTGTGAAAATGCAATGTATTTCTCTTGGAAGTTAGTGAAATGGATCTCAACAGCTATTTTGAGTAAGAAATACCAGTAAACTGAGTACAGAACTGTTGTAGATGTCACAAGCATAGGGCCCACACTGGCTTTGAAGGGATTAAAAAAGTTTAGGCTTAGAAAGTCTTCGTAACCCAAAGTATGAAAACCCTCTCATGATGATCACCTACGACCCATGACCAGGCCTGTTCTTTGCAAGGTCATTGGAATACAAGCCATCTGTGCACAATTAGTGTGCTTTAGATCTCCCATAGAAATCTGCAAGGAAGCTTTTACGTGTTTCTTCCTGGGTTTTCTGCCTCATTTTCTTTGGGCTGCCCTTTAGCTTCTGTAACTAACCATTTGTTTTATATATTGAATTGGTAATATAAGCATTATAATTATTGGATTTTTCAATAAAGCAGCTGCCAGGGGAGAAGTGAGCTGTTAAGTAAAATAATTTTAAATGAAGGGATTAGTTAAAATGTGTGGAGTTCCATATTTGTTTAATGGACTTTTCAAACAAGTGATTATACTCAGGGAATCTCATGTTAAACCACAACGTGAACAGCAACTAGAAGGATGTGCAACTATGACATACAGCTATCTACTGGGGCTTTGGGGAAAAAAAAAAGGAGGAGGATTGGCAATAGATGTTAGCTCAGAGCCAGTCTTCCTCAGCAAAAAGAGGAGGATTAGCACGGATGTTAGCTCAGGGCTGATCTTCCTCACAAAAAAAAAAACCCCACAACGTGATAGGGTAGTATAAGACCAGCTGCATTGACGCAAGTCTGATCACGAAGCCCTCCTCAGGTTTAATTAGGCTCCTTCTCTCCGGCCTCAGCCTCCTCATCTGTTACACAATAGTGACCATGATACTTCCTTAAGGTTGTTGTGCAAATTAATGGAGATAATCATCATATGGCAGTATCTAGCCCAGGACCTGAACTTACTGGATTCACAAATAAAAATACGTGTTAAGTGGATAGTTATTTTTAATGATGCATGAACTTTCTTGTCAATTATTTAAATATAGTTTATTTTTTCCCCAAGTTCACATTCCTAATTACAACAGAGAGGCTCGGTTATATCTTGTTTATAAATCAAATATATTTAAACATGATGATTTATTATTGTTTTTCCTCTTTTTATTACCAAGGTTTTTTTCATAGGGATATGAAACCAGAAAACTTGCTTTGTATGGGTCCAGAACTTGTCAAAATTGCTGATTTTGGACTTGCGAGAGAATTAAGGTCACAGCCACCATATACTGATTATGTATCTACCAGATGGTGAGTAGTTTCACGTGACTCTCCAGAGGCATATGTCTATGTTGAAGTTTTCCTATGATGGATTGTGACATATCCTTCTAGAGGTTCCATATCGAGTATTTAAAACAAAGTATATAAGTGAATTTTGTATTCTTTGGAGAAAAAGAAGGACTGGTCATGACTATACTGATTAATGAAATAAGAGAAGGAAAAAGGATTTCATTCATTCATTCATGCAACAAATATTTATTGAACACATACCGTGTGCTGATACTATTTTAGGCACTGGGGAACACAGAAATGAACTAAAGGGAAAAAAATCTCTGCCTCATGCTGCTTACATGACAACATGTAATACACAATAAACAAGGTAAAAGTATCCTGAGTCACCAACAGAAAGACACACACATGTTCATCAAAAGACATGTAATAGTCCAAAACTGCAGACTACCCAAATGTCCATCCCCAGTGGCATAAAATAGTCACCCAGTGGAATGCTTTACAGAGATGAGAAGGAATGATCTACAACTACAGGCAGCAATCTGGATGAATCTCATAGATATGTTGAGAGCAAGAGGCCAAACAGAAGAAGAGCGCACACTGTATGATTCCATTTACATAAAGTGCAAAAATAGACAAAACTAATCTATGCTGGTCAGTCAGGATAGCAGTTGCATGACAGGTGGGTGGAGGGTAGGTGCGCACTAGAAGAGTGCAGGAGGGGGCTTTCTGGGATGCTGATAACAAGCAGTTTCTTGATCTGGGTGCTGGGTCCATGGGTGTGTTCTGTTTGTGAAAATTCATCAAGCTGTACTCTTACGATGGGTGCATTTTTCTGTACGTATATTATACTCCAATAAAAACAAGTTAAGAATATATGTACATCAGATGGTGATACGTTATTATTGGGAAAAATACAATATAGAAAGGCATAGGGAGTTGGAGGAGATAGGGTAGGGAGAGGGAGTGTTGCTATTTTAAATAGAGGGTCTCACTGACAAGAGCCAGGGAGGAGATGCTGGGGCAAGCAGGAGCTTTTCAGGCTGCACAAATGCTGAGTGCGAAGGCCTTGAGACAGGAGCGCCACGTGTGAATTCTGCAGAGATAAGGAGGGCAGTAGTAGGAAATGAGGCCAGAGGGTTTACAGGATGGCCAGATTTCATAGGTCCTGGTAAGGACTGTGGTGGCTTTTTAAATCTGAGCGAACTAGGGAGCCCCTGGAGGTTTTGAGAAGTATGACGAGATCTGACATGTTTTAAAAGCATCACTCTTGCTGCTGTATTGAAAATAGATTTTAGAGGAGCAAGGGCAGGGCAGGGAGACCAGGTAGAAGGCTATTACAATAATTCGGGCAGGAAATGATAGTGATTTGGATCTGCTGGCCGTGGAGGTGGTGAGAGGTGTAGAATGCTCGCTGTGTTTTTAAGGTAGAGCAAACGTGATTTCCTGATGATCAGATGTGGGGTATAAGACAAAGGAGTCAAAGACCCCAAGGTTTTTCCCAAGCACCCAGAAGGATGGAGTCAGCACTAATTGGGATGGGGGTGCTGTGGAGCTCTGGGGGAAGCACAGTTCCATTTTAGGTTGAGTGAATGTCTCTGAGACAAGCAAGGGGATATGTCAAAGTCAGCCCCTGTATGTATGATCTGGAGTACAGGGGACAGGGCTGGGCTGAAGGTGTACACTTAGACCTCAGTGTCAAAAATCACAAGATTGGATTAAGTCAGTAAGAGAGTGAGTGTAGAGAAGAGGTCCGAGGACTGAGCCTAGATAGAGGGACCATATGTCCCAGTTTGCCCAGGACAGTCTCAGCTGATGCCCGTCATCAATAAAATGAGCTGGAACAGGTCCAATAGACGCCCCCTGTATGCTTCCTGCCTCCTCTGAGGTCTTACCTGGTTATGTGAGACACACATGAACAGTGAACCAAGTTTGCACCTTAACACATGGCTAATTCGGAGATTTCCTGTCTCTTTCTCCAACTCTTTTCCTGAAGCGATGTAACAAAATGTCCTTAGACAGGAGTGGCCCTCAGCTAACTCATTCATCCTGGGTGCTGACAGGAGTAGTATTTGATACTGTCCCCCCTGCCAGGCACATAGCATACCAGCTATGCTGGTATACATACAAGCACCACTTGTGCAAAGTCCTTTGCCATAACCTTTGAGATACCAGTTAGTGGGGTCATGGGAAACAGAAGTCACAGGTTAGGCGTACAGGAAATATGTGTGGGAGACAAACCCTCAGCAGTGTACTTGTAGGGCATATAGAAAGTAGTAGTCTGAATATTCTTTTTATAGTGATTATTAAATAGTATAAATCTACAACTATTTTGCTGTTTGGTGTTATGGGTTGAATTATGTCCCCAAAAAAGATGTGTTGAAGTCCTAGGCCCAGTACCTGTGAATGTGACCTTATTTGGAAATAGAGTCTTTGCAGATGTAATCAAGTTAAGATGAGGTCATTAGGGTGGGCCCTAATCCAGTATGACTAGTGTCCTTATAAGAAGAGGAGAGACACAGAGACAGACACACAGGGGGAGACATGCGAAGACACACAGGGAGAAGGCTGTGCGATGATGGAAGCCGAGATTGGACTGATGCATCTACAAGTCAAAGAACGCCAAGGGTTGCCAGCAACACCGGAAGCTAGGAGACAGGCTCAGAACAGATTCTCCCCTAGAGCCTCCAGAGAGAACGTGCCTACCCACCCCTTGCTTTCAGACTTCCAGCCTCCAGAACTGTGAGAGAATATGTTTGTCTTGGTTTAACCATTCAGTTTGTGGCACTTTGTTACAGCAGCCCTAGGAAACTAACCCATTTGGTAATGGTTTTTAAAAAAATTATTTTGCAATGAACTCTTTATCAACAATGACCTCCAAAAAACAAAAGTGCATATTTAGTGAAAGATTAAGTATTTTTCTTTTTCTAAAGAGAGGTTGCTGGAGAACTTACATAAAATGTTCAGTGGCATTTGCCATCCACTACAGGGGCCATAAGTCACTGACCTGATGGAAACCAGAACACACAAATCTGCCGAAGCAGCACCGGCACCTGTTTCAGAAGTTAGCAGCTATTTTAAGAAGACTATGCCCAAGACAGCTACTAGCAAGTGCAGCTTTAGAAGATGGGTTTACACATTACTCTGTGAGGCATTGCTTTTCATTTAGATGAAATGAATATTCTAAATTAATTTCACTCTTTTTTAATTCCAAGTTTTCTTATGCAGTTATGAAAAGTAAAGCAATTGGCTATAAATGTGTAGGCTTCTTTAGCAGAGGAAGGACTTCACAATTCAATGATGCCAATTTTAAATGAGAGTCATCAAATGCTTCAAAGAGAAAAATCAGTTACCTTATTTCTAATAATGGTTTGATTTTTTTATCACAATGCATAGAAACAAAGTCAAGCTTCTGAAAGTTCATTCTGTGAAAGGTGAAATTTCTAATATTACCACAAATGCTATTGTAATTTCAGTTAAAAAGTTCAAAATTGAAGATAAAATTATTGTTTTTCTGGTGACAATACAAGTATAGATTTTAGTGGAGCACAGCATAGCATCATAAAACAGTGTTCTTACTAAATTAAGAAACCTGGAAAGTAGAAATGTATTTGGATCAGTTAAGATGTATATCTATTTTGTAACTGTATCTAAATAAGCCGTTGATTTGTATTGTCCCAATCAAAATACAAGTTGTAGTTGTCAGAATTTACAAATTACACATATAGGTATACAGAGTGTAACTGGACTATAAAATTTTTATGATGGCATTGATGTTGACTATAAAAAATACTTCTGCGTGGCAGTATGTGCTTTCTCTCTTTGCTGTCTGTCAGTTGAATTTTAGAATTGTTTGAGCCTCTGAAGAATTACTTTGTAAATCAATTTAAGTGATTTACAGTGGTATCTAGCTTCTTTGTAAACAAGTCCTTTACACTGTGGTTCTATTTTGTTCCAAATCACTTGAAAATCTTCAATCAGAATTTTTGATAAATAGAGTGCCAAAAACCCAAAGATCTTGAAGCTCACAGCCAATTATGATTATTAAAAACAAGAAGACAATGATATTTATCCCCACAAAAGGAAAGGAGGAACTGAACAAATTAAATGATAAGAGCTCAGTGTACTAGTTTTATTTTTTAAAGGTATAATTAGATTTGGAAAATCTCCTCTTGCAGGAAGAATCTTTTGAAGGAGCTTCTATTTTTCATCAGGTAAATTTAGATTCAATGCTGAAATGGAATGAAATTGAGAAGACTTGTTTTTAGCATCTAAATTTGGCAAAATATTCAAAACAATTAATTTTGTCTCATAAAAATATTTGTCAAGGGCGAGCCCCAGTGGCCTAGTGGTTAAGTTCAGTGCGCTCTGCTTTGGTGGCCTGAGTTCGGTTCCCGGGCATGGACCTATATCACTCTGTTAGTGTCCATGCTGTGCTGGTGGCCCACATACTAAAAAATAGAGGAAGATAGGCATGGATGTTAGCTCAGGGTGAATCTTCCTCAGGAAAAAAAAAAAATTGTCAAAACAGATAATAACAAGTGTTGATAAAGATGTGGAGAAATTGGAACCCTTATACATTGCTGGTGGGAGTGTAAAATGGTGCAAAACAGTCTGGCAGTTCCTCAATGGTTAAACACATAATTACCATGTTATCCAGCAATTCCACACCTAAGTATATACTCAAGAGAAATGAAAACACATATGTACACAAAAACTTGTACATGAATGTTCATAACAGCATTATTTACAACAGCCAAAAAGTGGAAACAACCCAAATGTCCATCAAGTGACAAATGGATAAACAAAATATGGTATATCCATACAATGAAAATACTATTCAGCAATAAAAAGAATGAAATACTGATACATGCTACAGCATGGATGAACCTTGAAAACATGTTAAGTGAAAGCAGCCAGTCACAAAGGACTAGATAGTATATGGTTCCTTTGACATGAAATGTCCAGAATAGGCAAATCTATAGAGACAGAAAGTAAATTAGTGCTAGGGGCATAGGGATATTGGAGAGGTGTGGGTTTTCTTTTGGGGGTAATGAAAATGTTCTAAAATTGTGATGATGGATGCACAACTCTGTGAATATAGTTAAAGCCACTGAATCTTACACTTTTAAATGGTTGAACTGTATATCATGTGAATTATATTCTCAGTAAAGCTGTCAGAGAAAGGTACTCTGAATGGAAGCAAAAAGACAATACCTTGAAACTTTTGGGCTGAAATACTTACGCATTTCAATGTGAAAAAAGTTAGAATTAAGAATATCCTCCACCAAGTACCTTTGCTCTTGTAAATAGAGTATTTTTCTCAATTAAAATATTGTCAGTTGAGGGAATCAGCACTTTCAAACTGATAAGCAAAAAGAAGGAAAAAAATCTACTACTCAGGAATAATCTTTGTTAATCTTTTGTTTTCTGTTGTTCATATGAATATATTATGGATATAATGCTTTGTAACATTATACAACCATTCTCATTCAGAATATATCTGCTTCCATTCAGAGTTCCCCCTACCCCTTTTTCTTAATACATCATATAGCATTTATTTCCATATTTGTTAATTTGAGTTCCTATCATAGGCTACTTGGATATTTCATTTATATGGTCATGTGTCACTTAACAATGGGGATATGTTCTGAGAAATGCTTCCTTATGTGATTTTTGCGTTGTGTGAACATCACAGAGTGTACTAAAGGGGAACAAAATTTGCCACCCATAATGTGTCTCTTTAACATGAGGATTATTTTAGGCTGATTATTTTTAAGAAACAAGAGACTCAAAAAAGTTTTTCTTGTTACCTCCCCCTCAACTGCCTGAAAGAATTCAGATAATAAAACCTGTCTCAGGAAGTGAGCTATCACCCTAGCATCACATGAACTAGGTGGTAGACAGGGAGGAACCCAGAAAAGCCTGTTTGTTGGGGTCCCCTCTGTGTTCTTCTGTTTCTGTTGGCCAAACACTTGTTTTCTGAAACATTTGCTCCTTTTCACCTACCTGTGAATTGCTTTCCTTCCCTTTGAAGTCCCTGACTGTCCCCACCCCCAACATCTTTTGTCTTTAGCTGAGGATGGTATTTGAGGTGAGGGCTTTGGCCATTTTGGTGAGTTACTTGGTTTTCCTGGGTTTCTCTTATGCGTACAAGTTACTAAACTTTTGTTTGTTTTTCTCCTATTAGTCTATCTCATGTCAACTGAATTCTCAGATCAGCCAGAAGAACCCAAGGGTAGAGGAAAATTTCTTTCTCCCCTGCAGTGCTTACACAAACCTAGATGGTATAGTTTACCATACACCTAGGCTGTATGGTACTAATCTTATGGGCCCACCGTCGTATATGCAGATCGTCATTGATTGAAACATTGTTATGTGGTGCATGACTTTGTTTCCAGCCCCACTAAGTGTTTGTAGTCAGGAAAAATGTGTTATGTCCAGTTTAACCCCAGCACGTTGTACAAATGCCTGATGCACAGAAGGCACTTAATACCTGTTCCTTGATTGAAATGCATGACCAAACAGAACAGAATCCTGCTGCCACTCCATCTTTGAAACGACAATCAAAATAGCCTGTTTTGTTTTTATTTTCATAGGTATCGTGCTCCTGAAGTTTTATTGAGATCCTCAGTTTATAGCTCTCCCATTGATGTGTGGGCTGTTGGGAGTATAATGGCTGAACTATATACATTAAGACCACTTTTCCCAGGGACAAGTGAGGTCGATGAAATCTTTAAGATTTGCCAAGTTTTAGGGACTCCCAAAAAAGTAAGTACTCTTGTCTTACCTGGTTATAACTTTTGATTATTTATAACTTTTGCCTAGCTATCTGATATTTTCATTTTCAAATAGCCTTATGATTTAATGGTTAATTTTCTTATAATCCTTAATTTTTTTTTATTGGGTGGGATGAGGATTACAAGAAGCCAGAATCCCACCAGACTGAAGAAGAAAGGTGTTTACCTTTCTTTAAGAACCTAAGGAAAAATACTCTATATTTGGGATTCTATATAGTATTTAACTTTGAGTTGATGACCAGCTGATGCCTATGTAGACACCCTTGGTTAGACTCTTTCCTACTTGCTCTGTGAATGTCCGTTGGCATCAGCTCATTAACCTCAGGTGTCCTAGGCCTTATTTTCTCGTTTCCTTTTATATACCTCTGCCATGGATATTTGATTTCTTGAACTGAGTACTTTTCAACTACTGCATTCAGCTAGACCTTACTTTCTGAGATGTACTTAATATATTTAAGTATATATAATTACATTCTAATTAAATTAGTATGTGCCTTATAGTTAACATTAGAAAAGTAAATATAGCTATTAAAGTTTTAACATAATTGTCATTTCCTGGCTCTGTGCAGTTTTTAACACTGGATGCAATGCACACCATAGAATGAGGATCTTTGTAATAATCAGCCTCTTTGTAAAGCACTTGTCCTTATTCATTCAAAGTCACCTGGGAATCATCATCATCATCAAGATCCAAATACCAGACAAGAGCTTAACATTTTGAACTTTATAGAAGTGCTTTCTCGTTTTTTCCTAACCCTCAGTTCAATGTTCTTTCTATACTGTTTGTAGCACTAAATTGTATATGTGATCTGGTATTTCATTCTCACATTTATTTATGTGAATCAACATTAAAATTTTCACACACAAATGATTTTTATATTATTATGTTTTTAAATTGATTACTAAAACCAATTCTCTTTTTGCACCCCCCCCCCCCCCGTATTCCTTAAACAGAGTGACTGGCCAGAAGGGTACCAGCTTGCATCATCTATGAATTTCCGCTTTCCCCAGTGTGTTCCTATAAACTTAAAAACCCTTATTCCCAATGCCAGTAATGAAGCTATTCAGCTTATGACTGAAATGCTGAATTGGGATCCAAAGAAACGCCCAACAGCAAGCCAGGTAAAATGAATCTTCTTGGTATACTTTTTTCTAAATTTTGAGGTTTTACAATATTAGGGACATTTTCATTTATAAAGCCCTAAAGCTCCAAGGCATCCAGTATATATAATGAATTAATTTCTAGGCATATTAGACCCTTGGGAGAATTGCAAAAATAGCAATCCAATGATTTTCCGTGTGTTGTGTTTCACATGAGTAACCTATGAAGGTGAAGCTGAAAGGAACACATCTATAATGATAAAAATGCAGGCATGTGACAAGCTAGTTAGGAAGAAACTTGTCATGGGCAGGAAAAACGCATTTCTTCAATTATACAATACGGTTGACTTTCCGAAGCTTTCTTTCCTGATGGTTTGGGGACTCTTGTTCACTCTCGGGCTCCCACAAGAGGGCAGCACGTGGCCCCCATGCTGGCTCCTTTGTGACTGACTAGACCTCAAATGTATCTCAATTCTCATGGTCTTTAAAACACCATGGTTTTCAACTAAAACCATGGGCTTAAATTAAAAAGAGCTTAATTTCAAAAGTCATAATAAGCTTTGTTGTATTGTTATTATTTAAATATAAATTCAGTATTAAAATTACCAAAAACTTATTTGGCTTTTTAAAAATTTAACTTGAGAAAATGTTTTCTAAAGGTCATCTGGAAGAACAAATGGGAAAGAATATTCAGGACAGGTTTGAATAAGTAATTGGAGGATGGTGGTAGGGGCTGACAGCTTGCCCTATCAAATATTAAAATAATCTGTAAAGTGATAGTAATTACAACAGTGAAGGTACTAGCATACAAATTGACAAATAGCTCAGGGTTGCAGAAGCTGTTAAGTGAGCATAAGGTAAACATGGCACCACACATTGCGGGGAGGGGACAGTGAATGTTCCTGGGACAATGAGTTAACTCTTAGGGAAAAAGTAAATTTAGGTTCTTACCTCTCACTACACTTTACAAATAAATCATAGAAGGTTTAAATAATGAGAAGGAGGACTAAACTATTAAAAACTAAAGAAAGCACAGGTGAATATTTGATCTGAAGGTAAGAAACAGACGGGTATAAAAGTAGAGAAGAAACCACAAAAGGAAAACTCAGAAGATTTGATCACATAAAAATTAATTTTTCTCTTATATCAAAATCTTAAAATTGAAAAGACAAAGTGAGAATTCTTTTTAACAAGTATGACAGCTATTTTCTAATGTTTCTAAACATTTATTACTTTTGTAATAAAAATATAATAAAAGTCTTTAAAATTTACCTTAAAAAGATAAGTGGGCATGAGACATGAAAAAAAATCACAGAAAAAGAAACAAAAATTACTAAAAATATTTTTTAAATGTTCAACCCTTGTTCATTATCATAAAATGCAAATAAAAATGAATTACTATTTTTTATCCATCAAATTAGCAAAAAGCAAAAACACTTTACAGGCTATTTCTCTAAGTAATGGAAAGCAGTTTTGCAATGTATATAAAGACACTTAAAAAGAATCAGAAAGTTGGATAAAGATTTATGCCCAAAGATGTTCAAAGCTATTGGAAGTATAAACCTAAATCTTTTCAAGGAAACAAAGTATATACATCCTTAATATGGACTATTTTGCCACCATTAAAAATGTAATTTTTAAAACTAAAGTAACCATTTCAGAGATTTCTCAAGCTCAAATGCTAAGTTTAAAAATAGGCTATAATACTATATACCTATGCTATGACTTTATTAAAAATATATACATGTTATATGACTAGAAAGAAATACTGAAAAGAAAAACATCAAAATGTGAGCAGTGGTTATCTCTTGGTGTTGGTATTAGAGATGATTTTAATTTCTTCTTGAGAACTTTCTATACATTCTTTATCCTATGCAATGATCAAATATTTCCTTAATAAACAGGAAAACAAATTATCATTTTTTTAAAGATTCTCTTCTTCTTGAAGGATAATAGCTGGTATCTTAAAGAGGAAAAGTTGTTACAGATGAAGGTTTGAAATTAGAAAACACATTCATGAAGGTTCTAGCTCCAAAATATGCATTATTAATTTAGGATTATTGATTAATGTGACTTAATTTAGAATTTAAGTGCCTTCTGTGTGTCAGGTACTGATGTATTTAAATCGTCTATATTGGTCAAGTTCCTCTTAGCAATATTAATGTAATTAGCACATACATCAGTTGTGGTAGGAGACATCTTAGAATAAAAACTCTTACCACCTCGCCAAAATATAGCTCCCTGCCCTTAACCTCTTTTTTTGTCCACTGTTTCATAGCCCTACTTTTTAGTGGAAGCAAGGAGACCTAGCTAGGGAGAGGTGAAGTTGTAGGATACAGGGACCATGTACAGAGCCACCTCTGTCCCTCTAGAATCTGCCCTTACATACCTGAGAATAAGGCACCTGTAGATCAGGGCTGTGCTCACACATAGGTGGGAACTGGCTCAGGGCAGGTGGTGCAGGGGAACAGGGTTTGGCTATCTTAAGGAGCCCCCCTCTTCCCCACCTCCCTAAAAAAACAGCAGGACTGGGAACGTCCCTCTTCTGTCTGGGCATATGATACTGATAAGGGGATCAATATCCACAGCTGAGCTGCACAGAAGGCTTCAGAACTTCTCTAGACAAAGTTTCATCAACCTCGGCACTACTGACATTTTTGACCAGACACTTTGTTGGAGGGCTGTCCTGTGCACTGTAAGATGTTGAGCAGTGTTTCCGGCAGCATGCCTAGATGCCCGTACCACCTCCCACCCCCCAAGTTGTGATAATAACAAATGTCTCCAGACATTGTCAAATGTCCCCTGAGGGGCAGAATCACCCCCAGTTGAGAACCACACTGCTCTAGACGTGTCACCAGACAGTCATGAGGGTCCCTCCATGCAATAGCACCACTTGGGTGACTGGTCTAGTTAAAACTCAAACAGTGATTGTTTTTAATTAGTACTTTTATATTTTCTTCTCATAAATATCTGCTCTTTGCTGGTATAGCGATACACATATGTGTTTGTAATTTCCTTTCTTAGAATATTTTGTTGCTGGTAGGTATGTTGTTATACTTAGGCTAAGAGTAGCCCTGAATTTTACATAATGTTATAGTTAATCATTTTAAATAAACTATGTAGAAGGTTTTCTTAATTCATTTCTTAGTGCCTTTGGATGGACTCTCATTATCGGGATCTAGCATTTCAGTCTGAATTAATCACATCAAATTTAGCAAATGCTGATAAGTTAGATTTTTTCATATAAAATCTTTAAATAAGTAGAACAGTTGCTTTGCCTGAATCTTAAAATGACAAGTGAGTTTTACATTCTTCCTATTAACGTACTTTTTAACTTTTTTGAATGAAATTTATTTCTCACATCATTTTTTCCTGGTTATCTTTTTACAGTCCCCACATAAAGGGAAAACTGGATGTTCTCTAACTCTTTGCAGCTAACCTAGGCTAGTGATACATGCCTAGCCCAGCGCCTGACTGTAGTCTATGTGCAGTATATTTAAAGGAAATCATTTTCCATTTGTTATTTCCATGCTTTTATAGGCATTGAAACACCCGTATTTTCAAGTTGGTCAAGTATTAGGCCCTTCCTCACATCATCTGGAATCGAAACCGTCTTTAACTAAGCAGGTGCGACCCCTAGACTTGAAGCCGTCTTTAGTTGATCTAGAACCTAAGCCTCTGCCAGACATAAATGATCAGACTGTCGGACAGCCCCAGCCGAAAAACAGCCACCAGCCACTGCAGTGTATCCAGCCGCCGCAGAACGTAAGCCCCCAGCCAGCGCCAAAGCAGCAGAGTCAACAGAAGCAGCCGCAGGCACTATTTCCAAGTATCGTCAAAAACGTGCCAGCCGTAAGTAGCCCACAGTAACTCTTCAGAGGCAACAGTTTGGTTCAGTTAGAATTTTCTTTCTAGGCATTTCTAAAAAAGTTGGGAAGATATAAAAGATTATTCTACATTAAAGCTCCTGCTTCCTCTGGCAGGAGCTTGGCATGAGATAAATTAAAACTCTAATATGATTTATAAAAAGAAAAACTTTCAGAATGAAAGTAATCAAGTTTGCATGCTATGGACTTTAACAGTTACTTGGATGCAAAAGAATTCAAAGAAAGAATTGAAAAGAATCTGGTACTTAAAAGAACTGATCCTAAATCTTAAGGATTTTAACAGTAATTTTATACTGTTTTTAAATGCTAACGAACATGAACAGAATGGGTTTTTTAAGTGTCAGGCATAGTATAAAACTTCCTATTTCTTTTGTTCAGTTCAGGGAGCTTGTCAAGTGCCATATTATTTTAGCTGTCTCCTCGAGATGTATACTCCCAAGTGTATTTGCATTATGGGAATTTTAGGACTGAAAGAGATCTTAAAGAAACTGTGTCTAATTCCTTATCCAGTCCTGCCATCCTCATAGAAGTAAGCCCTGCCCCCAATAGCACTAATTGCATTCTAACATACCGTTAATTACTTGTTTCTTATGTGTATTGTTTATCATCTGGTTCTTCCTACTAGAATGTAAGCTCCATGAGGTCAGGGATGTTTGTCTGTTTTGTTTATCAGTATAGACCCAGAGCCCAGAACAGTGCCTGGTACATGGTAAATTCTCAGCAAATATCTGTTGAATGAATGAGTAATTGTCCACACTATTTCTGAACTACAGGGTCCTGAGGAGTCCACATCATCTTTGGGGCAGTTCTCACTGTTAGAAAGTTCTTCCTTATACTGAGCTAAAATCTGGTGTTCTGTAGTTTCCTGTAAGTCTTCTAGAAAGGCAACCTTTCAAATATTTGAAAATAGCCCCTGTATTATCTCCCTTTTTACTCTAAGAGAAACATCTCCTATTCCCTCACATGCTCCACATATGACATCATTCACCAATGAATGAGTCAAGTCTGAAGGAGCCTTTGAGTCCCCTCACAACCTGCTCCCCACTTAGAATGAAGCTGCCAGAGTTAACGCAGACAGTGGGTAGGGAGCATAAAACAGGATGAATCGCCTCCAACATTCCAGAGCCATATGTTCACTTGTACCACCAAGGATCACATTTTTGTTTTTGTTTTTTCTTGGAAGGCACATCACATGTTGACTCATATTGAGAGGGAAGAAAAGGAAGTTAATATTTATTGAATAGCTACTAAGTGCCATGCACTATACTAGGTCCCCTGTATACATTCACTAAGTTAAAGTACCCAGTAACCTAGCCCTAAATTTTTAGATAGCCAGTCAATTCCAGAGTTGGGATTGAGCATTCTGTCAACTAAAATTACTAAATCTTTTTACAAGTGCTTCTGCCAAATCACATATTCTGTACCTCTCATATATCTGAGCTCTAGGATTCAAAAAGTTGCAAGACCTTACTTTTACCTCTCAAGTTTCTAATAAGTATTTCTGAACCCTTATTTTGTCTTCTCAGTTTAACTAACCACTCTGTCCAGCTTGTTGCCAGCTGTGGATTTGTTTAGTTGTTCCTTTGTTTTTTTCTCCTGTATCTTCATGATGAACAATAGCACAGAGCCCTTGAGCAGGCCACTAGAACCTTCTAGATTGACACTGATCCATTAATCAGTACTCCTGGTCAGATTTTTGAACTATGTATTTGTCTTAGTCTGCTTGGGCTGACATAACAAAATTCCATAGACTTAAACAACAGAAATTTATTTTCTCCCAGTTCTGGAGGCTGGGAAGTTGATTCCTGGTGAGAGCCCTCTTCCTGGTTTGTAGATAGCACCTTCTTGCTTCATCCTCACATGGTGGAGAGAGAAACCAAGCTCTCTGGGGTTTCTCTTTATGAGGGCACTAATCCCATCATGAGGGCCTCATGACCTCATCTAATCCCCAACTACCTCCCAAAGGCCCCATCTCCAAATACCAACACATTGGAGTTGGGGTATAAATTTTGGGGGGGGTCATAGAAATTTCAACATATAAATTTTGGGGGACATAAATATTCAGTCCATTGCAGTACTGATCCACCTATGTTGTCCTTTCATTACTTCATTTCATTGATAGCATGAAAGACCCTGTCACCTACTTTGCTAAAGTCCATATAGACTACATGTATTCATTGCCCTTTATGAAAAATGGTGGCCTATATGATCTACCACTTTTTTTCCCTTAGTGCTCAAAAACTTTCCCTTTAATGACTGATTTTAGAATTTTGGCCCTCATCCTATACCAAACTTATTAATGTGGAGTTTGCAAAAATCCATCTTCTACTTTAAAAATTATTTATATTTGCCCTTTTCTGGTCTTCTCAGATATACAAGACTACTTGACATTACTGGCATTGTTCAGCAGCATACAGCATCGGCGCCCTAAAATACACTTCAGCTGAAATAAGAGTCTTGAACTCAGCTCAGTAGATAACTTTTGATTAACTCTTCTCATCTGGGACTTTAGGTCTTTTTTTTTCTCCTTAGCCTAGAGCTCAAATTCCCGGACAAATAAAACAATAGTATAATAGAAGTTGGCAGATACTACTTTTTGTCATCATCCATCATGACACGATCAGCTGCAAGCAATAGCATATCCATTCTTAAAGCATCATCTTGCTCCAAACATAGCTGTATCTGCTGACTTTGCTTCCAAATTCCCTAATTGTCAATTGCCTTTTGGATTTTTCATATTACATGCCCCAAAACCATCCCATGTAAATTTGTAGAAAACCATCTCATTGTCTGCCACCAGCCAGGTCTTCTTCCTCATTCCTTATTTCTGTTGATAGAGCCACCATTCTGAGATAATCAGGCTCAAACTTTTAAAGTCATCCCTGCCTTTCCTTCTCTGTGTCCATTAGAATTATATTCAGTGATTTTTGATAGAAACTTGACCACTGTGGCTTAAACAATAGGGATTGTTTTTGTCACATAACAAGAAGTCAGGTGGTGGGCAAGCCCGCCATGGTACTGCTTGTAAAAGGAACCAGACTGCCTCAGTCTTCCTGTTCCACCACCCTTAGCAGGCAGCTTTTATTCCTGTGGCCACAGGATGGCTGCTTCTCCTTTGGGGTTGCATCTACATTCTGGAAGGGGGAGGAGTGAAAGACAACTGGCGCATGCCAGCGGAGTCTAAAAATGGCTCTCCAGGAAGCCCCTCCCAATAGACTCACACTGACAGCTCACTGGCCAGATCGTGTCACATGGCTACATATAGCTGCAAAGGAGGCTGGGATTTCAGGTGTTTTAACTGGGTACATTGTTGCACTGAACAAAATCTATTAGTAAGGAAGCAGGGGAGAAGGGCTATTGAGTGGGCACCTGGCAGTGTCTGCCACACTCTCCTTTGACCTCTGTTCAGATAGATACAAAGTCCAGGCCTTTTATTCCTTGTTAATAGCAAATGTATTCTTCCCTGAGCATTCCAACCACTAAGAATCTGTTGCCCTTGTCACTGCATGCCACTATAACTGCAAAGGACTCCTATCTGAAGAGCTTGACCTTTCTAGAATGCTGCCTTTAGCTCATCACTTTTTAGCTCAGAAACATCCAGTGCTCTCCATTGCCCATAGGGTAGCTGCAACCCCTTAGGCAGACATTGAAGGCCCTTCAGACTCTAGCATCAGTCTGTCTTTGCAATCCTATCCTCCACTACTTCCAGCACGACCGTCTGCTTTGATAAACTTAGTCTCTTCCTTCTTCCTGGAACATACTCTGGCACTTTTGTATTAAAAAGCTATACTTTATACATTTCCTCTTCCAAACTCTAGAATAATAATAATAACAATCAAAATAATAACAATACTACCTAACATTTAGTAACTCGTGCTAGGCCCTGTCCTAAGGACTTTCAATATACTTTACTATTAAATTCAGAAACGCTAAGTTAGATATTTAGATAAACACTGCATATCCCCATTTAAGGAGGAGGAAACTAAGGCTTTGAGAAATTAAATCACTTGCTCAAAGAGACAGTGTCACACATGGCAGTTTTCTAAATTACACATCAATGAAGAGTCAGTTCTGATCCTAAGTGTTCAAGTCTCCCCCCAGCCCAAGTTCACAGAGAGCTCTGCTCCCTCTGAACTCCTATTGTATTTTTAGCATGTGCTACCTATTTTTGTTAATACTTTTAAATGTGTATATATGTTATCTTCTTAACTATATGGAAGGCTCCTTGAGAATGGAGACTCTTGGTATCAAATATAATAGCTTGTGCATTAAAGGCATTCAGCAGATGATTAAAGATGGTAATGATTTTCCACTACAGAAGCCAAATGGCACACTGGGTCATAAAACTGCTAGGAGGCGTTGGGGTCAGACTGTGTTCAAGTCTGGAGAAGGTTGGGAAGAGTTTGAAGACTGTGACTTTGGAGCTTCCCATTCCAAGAAGCCAAGCATGGGTGTTTTCAAAGAAAAGAGGAAAAAAGATTCTCCATTTCGGTAAGATTTCAAATTCCTCGGGAAAATGTATTTTTATCATGTATCAACTTTATTTTCCTCATTAAATATAAATGAATGTAGATATTAAAAGATAATAAGTAGCTTAATATTGTTTTTTTCCACAAAACCCAAATCTCTATGCAAACCTCTGAAAAGTTAAGAATCTTTACTTCTCACAGTACTGATTCTCAGTACTAGTGGTTGAGTGTTGCATGTGTGTGGAGGGAGGGGCTCTTGTTAAATTTTTAGTGTGCCCTGTTGAATTATGATCACCATTTTGAAATTCACTTGCCTGTTTGCAGCAAGCAAAGCACAATCTACAAAAGTGATGGTTTCCTCTGATGGTGTTCAGATTCAATTATTTGTGTTTGCTTGCTATTCTAAACTTTTCTGATCATTTCCTGAACTTTTTCTGGAAGTTTAATATCTCTAGCAGTACCTTTTCTTTTTATAAGTTGAATCATCATTAGTACATTATTCAACTTTGAAGTGAGGGTGGGTTAATTCTTGGTGAACATTTTGGAAAAATATTTTCATTTTTTTTTCCTCTTTGGAACAGAAGAGAAGAGGGAGAAAAGATGTGGCATGAGTATCTATGTATCTAATAGCTGTTGGGCACTGTATAGTGCAGAAGTCTTCACTTTGTGGTACACATACTTTTGAAGGTACATGAAGACTCTAAGCAGTACACAAGCTCAGATAATTCTTAGTCAGTCAGTTTCCAGATCCTCAAGTTCCATAGGTACTGAACTTGAGAACAAACCTGCTTAATCCCCCTCCCACTTCATGCCAGAAAGTCACACCTCTTGCATGGCATTCGGATGTAACAACCTTTGAGGTGTTAAACAAAAGGGAGAAATCAGAAGACTGGCACCTTCAACTCAAAGGCTTTGTGTTGTTCCTTGTCATATACATATTTCTCTTAAGGGGAAAACCCTGCTTTAGAAATAGGGTATATTAGCCTGTGTTGGAAAACATGGAGATTCAGAACCACTGAAGCACCAGAGCCTAGTGATACTTATTCTTTTAAAATTACTAGAATGTTCTGTAAAACCACCTGATTTTTCAAAACCTACGGATATAAATTATACATGACTTTTTTAAGATTCAGAGTGTTTTACAGAATAAGGTAGTTACAGCTTACTTTATCAAGTCATACCAAGAAATACCCCAATTACAGTCAATCCTCATAATGTTTGTTTCATCTTATAAATTATTTACTGTTTTCTATCTGCTATTAACAACAAACAAGAAATAGAATTATTTAATTTATGATGAAAAACGATAGATGTCAACTTAAATATGTGCAGGGAGCTACACAGTTGTGTTTTTTTTCCAAACAATTCTTTGCATCTGGGAGCAAGAATTTGAAGACCATTGGTGTAGTATGTAGATGACTTGGAAACTTTTTTTTTAAACCCATGTCATTCTAATTCCAGCTGAACTTTATCGTATATTTTTAGGGGAGGAAGAGGTTTGAATCAAAACCTATAGTTAAGATCCAGTTTGTAGTCTATGTATTTGGTTCTGGCAAGGGAACAGTTGGTAAACTTCTTCAACGTCAATTATTCCTTTTCTCTTGAAATTCCTTTAGAAAACCTGTTTGACAATGAATTTTTAATGTAGATATTTCTTTTATTTTTATTTTTTGATATCATTAAATGTCCTTATACAATATAGACACATAATAATAATTATTATTAATATACTACCACTTATTAAGCACCTACGTAAATTTTATTTATAATCTTCATACTCCAGTAAAAGTATCTGCAGAATAGGACACTGACACTCAGGTTGAATAAATAGGTTGCTCAAGGTCAGATGAGGCTTAATTCAAATGCTCTCTCTCTCTTCCACACCACACTACCACTTAAGCTATAGGAGATCAAATACTTGGTGAACTGAATGAACTCTGTAATTCTCTGCTCAGTTTCTCAGGCAGCCTGGGCTTCCCCATAAAGAATACAAAGTACCAAATACTAAATGTAAAACCTTTACTTAACATTGTCTTTTTTTAAGTGAACAAAAGCTAGCTATTTGTATTCATACTCGGTAGATATTTACTACACACCTAGTTGGTATTAAGCAAAGGTATGAACATGACATAGTCAGTCTTGAGCCCATCAAATGTATAGCAGCAGTAATAAGACTTCAAGTACCTATAACACAAGACAGTGTGTATTAAGTGCCACTAATGAAGGAGCTGCAAGGAGCTCTAAGAGTCGGTTTATGGGCAGACCACTTTGAGGAGGACAGGAAAGTCTTTTTAGAATGAGCAGTTTTGAAAATGGGTAGAATTTCCACAATTGGTATAACTACAATGGGCTGAGGGGAAGGGAAAGAAACCAGAAATGGGTGCTGCTGTTTCTAATGAAGGGGGCCTACCTGTGTCTAGGGCTACCACAAAGCGGGTTGGGCTAGCCAGCAGTTCGGAGGGCCAACCAAGCCAGTGTCAGTCCCCAAGGGGGTCCCAAACAACCTTCCTGTTTATCCATTGCTTTAGTAGACAGGTGAAGGGGCTATGATTGTCTTCCCTTTCAACATGCCATCTTCCACATTATAAATCCACAACTGCACCAGTTGCAGGAAAGATAGAAACACACACAGGCAACTTGCTGCTCCGTGACAAAGCTGTCTGTCACATAATGTCTAAATTAGAAATGATTTTATGCACTGCCTAATATCTACTGGGGAGAAAGTTTATCATTTAGTGTTCCTATCAGCCAAAGGACTCTGATGGAAACCACTGAAGTGAGGTCACCTTGACCACATTTGAAAAGATGTGCAGAGGGTGGGTGAGAACATGGTACCTGTCATCTTCTCATTCTTCATGCTGTAATGCTACCTTATGTTGACTTTCAAGGCTTCCAGAGTCAGTCCCCTCAGGCTCCAACCACTCACCAGGGGAAAACAAGAGCGTACCTGCTGCTATTTCCCTAAAATCTGATTCTGAATTGTCAACTGCTTCAACAGCTAAACAGTACTACTTGAAACAATCAAGATACCTTCCAGGTAAGTAGAGAAAATCAAGTGTTTACTGCTAACTAGAATAGAGATAGGCCAGGCTCAAGTGTCTTGGAATCTGCAGAAAGGGCACCAGTGAAATGAAAAGGACAATCACAGTGCTCTTTGCTGGCTCAGCCTTGTCACCAAGTGCTTTTCTGGACCTCCTGCATCTGTGAAGTCTGTAGCCCCAAATCAAGAGGAAGAATGTGCTTCAAAAAAATGCCACCCTCACCCACCAAAGCTATGCCTTTAGTAAATGCTAAATTTTATTAAAACAATTCTGCATCCCCATTACAACATTTTATAAAATTGTAGAATTTTATACTGTTTCGTAAATGATCTGATTTCCATTTTTGAGAGATCATTCTGGCTGCTGGGTAGAGCATGCTAGGTGCTCAAGAGAGACAAGGAGACTGGTCAAGAGGCCACTGCATATGTCCAGATAGAGAGGGTAATGGCTTGTTCCGGAGTAGATAGAAAGCGTAGATAGAAGCAGATAAAATCTAGATGTATCTGGTAGTGGAACTGATAGGACTTGCTGATAGATTAGCATGGGTGATGGTAAAGATGGAAGGAATCAGTGTTGGCTTCTGGGTTTTTGACTTGGCAATCAAGTGGATGGTGGTGACTTTAACTGAGAAAGGGAAGATTAGGAGAGGACAGGAAGTAGAGAGCCAGGAGTTGAGGTTGGGACGCCTATGAAACCTCTGAGTTGATCTATCTAGTGGACAATTGGATACGTGAATCTGGAGCTTAGGAGAAAGATCTAGACAGATGGTGGGGAGTTATGTTGTGCCTGCAAGTAGAATTTTCTCCTCAAAATCCACTTTAAAAAGAAAAGTTTAAAATTCAATTTAGTCTAAAAGGGAATCAATTTTTAAATCATCATGTATCTAAACTATCTGTACAGATATATCTTTAGTCCAACAAGAGGAGGAAATGATCTTTTTCTCTTGTGCTTTTGTGGGCATGGTCATTTACAGCTTTCTGAATGTAGGAAGCAGGCCATTGCATTCATCTGAGGAAGATTTGCTTTTCACATCTGAGTCTCCAAAAGTAAGCCCTAGTCTTCATTTCCCAGGAGCTTGTTTGGGAGAAGGGATAAGGAAGATGAGAGAAAAGGTTGAGACTGGATTGTTAGCAAGAGGGTGATGCATAACACATTTTTCTGTATACCTTTTAGGCAACCATATAAATTTCAGTTCTAGGAATCTAATAGGGATCCACTCCTGTTGTAAATAAGTGAAGTGAGAACAAAATGAAACTGAGGAGAGGGTTTAGAAATGACTGGGATAGAAAACAGAAGGCATAGTGGTGCAGAGGCGTAGCCACAGGTGTTGACTAAGTTGAAATAAACTTAGGAAGCACAAATCAAGCTTTTAGGACTGCACTTCTCTGCTGGTTAGTAAGGAGGATGATACTATCCTATTTAAGAGAAGTTGAAGAGACTGGCATGAAGTATCAAGGGCAGAGCTAAAACCATGACCCTGGGTATCTACAGATCTAAGTGGGTTAAATGTTTGTTTTGGTTTTTCTAAAGCCTTTACAGAGGAGGTGAGTCAGCTGGTTTTTAATGGATGAGCAGCATTTCCCCATGCAGAAGAAGAGGGAAAACATTCTAGGACCCGTGGGTAGCATGAGCATTCATTTGTTGATTCTGTTGATTCATTCATTTGTTTTATTCATTCACTCAGTAATATTATTACCTAATATGTGCCAGGTACTTACTAGTCTAGGCATTGATTATATATATATATATAGCATTGAACAAGAAAGATGAGGTCCCTGCTCTCCAGGCGCTTACGTTCTAGTGGAGACAGAGAAAAAGAAAATTGGCAGGTAGTGATAAGTGCTATTTATCACTATTACAGGGAGATGAACTTGAGTATGACTGCTTGGAGGGGTGGGGGGGGCATCCTTGATTACATAACATTTGGGCTGATACTGGAAAGATGAGAAGGAGGAAGTCATGTGAGGAGCTGAGAAAAGATGTTTCACACAGAGGTGGGAAAGACACTGGCTTATTTGAGAAACAGAACGAAAGCCTGCACGTTCGGAGTTTAATGGGCTCGGGGCAGAGTGGTGTAAGATGAGGTGGGGAAAGCTGGCGGGGTTCAGATGATACACACCTTGAGGGCAGGGGATGGAACGTGGGTTTTATCCTGTGTCCACTGGAGGCCTTGGGGAGGACTTCAGGGGGTGAGTGAAACGTGACTTGTGTGTTAAAAAGACTCTTTGTGTAAAGAATGGATTACATGAGGGCAAGGCTAGAAGTGGGGAGGCTGGTTGGGAAGCTCCTGCAGTCCTCCAGGGAAAAGATAATGATGATTTAGAGGGAGATGGGCTCTTGATATATTTTGGAAATGGACTTGCTGATGGATGTTGGTGGAAAATAAGGGAAAAGTAAGTTTGGGGCTTGAATCCTGGGTGGATGGTGGTGCTGTGTTCTGAGATAGGGAAGACTTAGGAGGAAGAGGATTGGGTGGGGAAGAGGTAGTCAGTGCTGTTTGGGGGCTGTTACATTTGAGATGCTTGTGAAACATTCCAGTGTGGAGAAGCCAAGTAGGCAGTCGGAGGGAAGAACCAGGAATGCTGAGGAGGGATCTGGGCCCAAGGTAGCAGATTTGGGAGACTCCAGCTGACTCCCAGACAGTATTCAAATCTATGGATTGAATAGCATCCCCTATGGAGAGACTGTGAGGGAGCAGTGGTACCGGTAGGGGAGAAGGAGCTAAGAAAGGGGACAGGAAGCAGCCAGACAGATGAGGGGGAACGAGGAAAGGTGGTTTCCCGGGGTCGAGAAGGGAGAGTTTACCTGAAAGAGTTGTTTGCTGCTGAGCAGCTGGATAAGAAGGGATAGAAAAGTCTGATTAAGTGTGACAGTGGAGACATCCTGACCTCGATGGGCAGTTTCCGTCTGGAATGGTGAGGGAGGTCTAGGTTGGAGTGGGTTGAAAAGTGGTGAGAAGTGAGAAATTGGTGACTGACAATGTAGACCACTCTATGGAGGCATTGTGCTGGGAAGAGGAGGTTAGAAATGGAGCCACAGTGGAGCGGGGTTCAGGGGGACGCTTCAACAGTGGTGACTCTGGGACTGTGGAGCAGGTTTGCATGTGGATGGGAATGATCGCTTTCAGAGGGAGGGATTGATCGTGCAGGAGAGGAGGGGAATGGATGAGGGATTGAAGTCCTTCAGAAGGTGAGAAGCGTTGGAATTAAGACTGTAAGAGATGGGGTGCACTTTTGAAAAGAGCAAAGATACTTGTGTTGTAATCTCTGTCTAGATACCAGTAGGTTTGTAAATTTTGGTGTTGAAACCATGAGGGAGTTCTGAACTGACTGCAAAAGTAGGGATGTAAGAAAGTTTCCAAAACACAGATTCATGAGGGACACTTTTCCCTGTTTAACAAAAAAAAAAAAAATCAAGTACATTTCACTCACTGAAATGTTGCAAATCAGTATTTTACCTAACCTGTAGAAGTGAGCCCTCTGGTGGTGGAAAAGGCTACTGGAAATTTTTGTCAGAGGATAAATGGATCCAAAGCGCACTGCTTTCATAGTTCTGCTCCCTAATGGGGTTTTCAGGAACGCATTTCTGGATATTTGAGACCCATCTGATCATTTCCTTTTTAACCAGAAAGATCTAACAAATTCTGCAAATTACTTTGGATCAGAAGCATGGCTGTGTTGGAGACTTAAGAAATAGACTCAAAATGAGAAAGAATGGTTTGAAACCTAAACTTGAGCCTTCCTGTCACCCTACTGGCATTTTTTGACTTGAAGATGGCCCTCTAGAGCGAGGTGAGACTTGAAACCAGAATTGAGCTCAGTTCCGTCACTTGGACAAACATTTATTGAGTACCTATCATGACCCAGCGAATGCAGAGGATAGAGACCCAAATAAGAAGTGATCCTTGACTTTTGCTATCCAAAGTTACTTTTATAATTGTATATCTTTAGGAATAAAAAAGAATAATATCTTTGGGGGCTCTCTTTTTTGCCATAAAGCCAAGCATAAAAGGTCTTATTAAGCATCAACCTTGGGGCCTGCCCTTTGGCTTGGCAGTTAAGTACACGCGCTCCACTACTGGCAGCCTGGGTTTGGATCCCAGGTGCGCACTGCCACACCATTTGTCCGGCCATGCTGAGGCTGCGTCCCACATACAGCAACTAGAAGGATGTGCAGCTATGACATACAACTATCTACTGGGGCTTTGGGGAGAAAAAGGGAAAAAAAAGGAGGAGGATTGGCAATAGATGTTAGCTCAGAGCCGGTCTTCCTCAGCAAAAATAATTTAAAAAAAAGCATCAACCTTTAGGATCATGGGAGCTCTAGAAATGTACCATATAATTTCAGGGCAGCATGACATTATACTACAAGGATTGGCAGATCTGTGACACTGGCCTTCAGGGAGACAGATGCAAGAGTCATAGTTACTGACCTGCTACTGACCGGCTGTGTACTGGAGCAAGACTTTGAGACTCTGTTTTCTGTTACTTACAATGGGACTGCAGTCATCTATCAGCTAACCCTGTAAGCCTTAGGTACTTAATTATCGCAAGGTGGTTGCAAACACAGTATGCAATGGAAGCACTAACGACCTCTCAGTGGTGCCCTCTGGTCTCACTCCCTGCTCCCAGAACCAGGGCTCTTGCGTGAATTGATGCCACCAAGCTGGCTCAGGAGGAGGGGCTCACTCCATAGCACTTTTGAAACCCTGGTCTGTGGATCCTTCTCGAGCCCCATTTATCACTACGGTCCTTCCTTCCACCTGTGTCTTCAATGTCTTGTGTCATTTCTATACTTGCCTGTCCTACTGCATTTTAAATTTCTTAACATGACTCACAAATTCCTGCGTGATCTGACCCCTAGTCCCCTCTCCAGCCTCACTGTGTGCCAGTCCCTGTTCTTGCTCCGTCCATGCTGACTGTCTCGGAGTTCTTTCCCATCTCAGGGTTGCTGCGGGCACTGTTGCCTCTCCCAGGAACACACCTCCCCACCCCCATCCAGTGCTAATCACGCAGCTTAAAATTACGTTTTTTAAAGAAAGACTGGCTTAGTTGCTTCTGTTATTTACCCTCTCAGCACCAGATTCGTCTAAACAATTTGCACATCGCTACTACTTACCTAATTATTTACAACTACTCAAGTCTCCCTTCTCATTAGAGCAGACTGTAAGAGCCAAAGGGTAGGAACTGGTCTGTTTTGTCCACCACTTTTTCTCCAGTGCCACACACACCGCCTGGCATGTGGGCAGGTGCTCAACAAATATTTGCTAACTGACTTTTTAATGTCCTTTGAAGCGAGGGATGGAAGTATATTAATTTCTATTTCTCTCTAACACAGTGTTTGGTATATAGAAGGCACCCAATAAAAGCTTGTAAACTAATGCGTAAATAATTTAAAATTCCAGATTGTGTCTATTTCCAAGAAAACTGGAATTTTTAAAAAGAGAAAGAATTAAAGCAATTATCTTCAATAGTGTATATATTTACTTAAAAAACACTAGGGATACTGCAAGGCTAACTGGATTAAAAAAATAATTTAAGTATTCAGGGCCCATTCTTTGTTGAACCATATTTATGAAAACTGTTCATTTAAAGAGATTTTTAGTTTTTTCCCTTACCTTGCACTTCCTCTTTGTATAAATTTTTTTTTGTAAAGATGTTTTTAATATGAGTAATTTCTACCTAGTGCATCTTCTTTATCGTCAGGTAATTGCTTATTATAGTTCTATTTATAGGTGTTTTATTAGAAACTAAAATCCATAAGGAGCTATATCCTATAAGAAAGGGAACCTATTTACCTGATGGAGTGTTTCCTTAGAGGACTAGTAACCTTGAGGCTTGGTACAGAACAACGAGGCTTGTTTCTGGCTTCAAAACAAGAGATATTATTATATGCTTCATAAATGTGAAAAGCATAAGCTCATAGTGCCTGGAAACAGTTGCTAACTTCCTACAGCGATGGTGGTCCTCAGTGAGGATCTTTCCTAGTCTAACTAAAGACAACACTACGTGTATGACCCAGGAACATAGACTGTGTGATGTCTTTAGCGTCTCATAAGTTGAATCCAATTTAATTATCAGTAAAAGGAAGGCAAGTTCAGGAAGTTTTCAAATTTCTTAAGGATAGGTTAAAACAACTCCCTTGGACCACTAGTACCAAAGTCCAAAGCTGACTCCACATTTCACAGATTTCAGAAAATTGTAAATAATGTAACTATTTAGATTTTACTATAGTTAATATACAAGTAAGCCTTACAGCTGAGTCTTTACCCAGCTATTCCGAACTTCTCAGGTTCCCCTGAGTTCTTGGTCACATGTCTGTTTTCCTGGCCACACTAAGTGTTCCTCAAGGTCTGGCACAGAGACACTCAAAATAAGTGAATGACATGGAAATAGCTTTCTGAAGAAAATTTTTGTGCCACCTCAATTTTTACAAGACATTTAGCAAGAAATGTCCAATGTTTATTGTTACTTGCATTATAGAAAACATCTTATGTTTATAAAATATACTGTGAGGATTCCAGCTTATTGTGCTTAGGGCTTAGGATCGTGTTAGGTTCATTAAAAAGCAAGTATTTGCTACACTATAACCTAAATTTTTTTCCATTCTCCTCTGCCAAGTTATTTCTGGTCTTGGTTTGAATGTAGAATATATTTTTCCTTCAAGTTTTTGATCACACTTTCACCTCTGAAATGACTGTTTTGTTCTTTAAGGTGTAAATCCTAAGAACGTGTCCTTGGTAGCCAGTGGAAAGGATATAAACCAGTATACGTGGAATAATCAGTTATTTCCCAAGTCACTGGGACCCATTGGGGCAGAACTTGCTTTCAAAAGGAGTAATGCAGGTAAAGCAAGAATACATTTAAAGTATAAATTTACCTTGTTTTCCTTCTGCAGATTTTTATTTTTAAATATCTTGCAGTTACCTTCTTCCAACCAAGATCCCCTTAAGGGTACACAAAGGTTTTCCAACTGGTTCTTGAGTACAGATAGTTTTACAGGAATCATTTGCCAGACATCAACTTCCATAGTGATTCTTTCCTAAAGTGGATCTGCCTGAGCAAGGTGTCTCTATTCTCCTACTTTACCAGAGAAAGGAAGACTTCTCACTGTTTACTGTGGCATGTTTCCTATTTCCTCAAAGTGTAAAGTATCTGGGGTGCCAGTCAAAGGGACAATTTGATATGTTGGTGTCATGTTGAGCAAGTGAGTAACTCTGATGATTGGGAAACAAATCCTTTTTAGGTTAAGTGGTTTCCAGTTCTTAACTTTCAAAAAAACTCAAGAACCTAATTGGGTTATTAGCTGACAGATAATTAAAAATCATTTTTTATGAGATCACTATGATTTTTGGTCTATAACTTTGAATAGAGTTCAGAGATGATAGTGGCAAAGCTGTAAGAAAACATCTTTCATTCCCAGCTCTGCTTATGTTAACAAGGTTTCTCACTGCTTCCATCTCCAAAAATGAAAAAAAAAAAAAAAGAAAATTGATGCTGAATCCTGATTTTAGCAATAAGTAGTATTCATTTGTGGATACATGAACTACTTGAAAAAGATCCCATCTTTCTCATTAAGAGAGGCATTTCCAAAACAACTGACTTTCCATGTTTAGTAATCAAAATTTATAATATTCATCGTTTTTGATTAATTATATACAATGACTTGTAATTATAACTTAATCCAGAAAAAAAGTATTTTAATATATTTATGGTTATAAGAAATTTTTTTAAAGGTTTCAATTTATACACATTTTTGAGTGATCAATTTAAAGACTTTTAAGCCTAAAATTATATTTGGATAAACTTTGGGAGCTGAGATATGAATGAAAATAAAATTTTAGAGAGAAAAGGGATTAATGTGACATTTCCAACTGTTAAAAAGGAACTTCATGTATTTCTTAAGTTGATATTGATGGGCATAAAATCACTATGGTATTTAGATTCCACTTGTTATATTTAAAGGAGAGATGTAATAGTTTTTTTTATGTCTGTAATTACAGTATGCCAGAAATTACATCCTTCAGAACTGTAAAACATGAAAAATTTTAGATAGCAGCTTAAAGAGTGTGAAGTGGTAAAGAGTTCTTTTTTTTTAAATGTAGGTGGTATTGGATCAAAAAAGTTTGATGCTCACTGTGTAGCAGTTGAGTAGTTGACTGCGGTGTTCTGATGTGACATCGACACACTTTGGACAAGTTGTCCAGGTGCTTTGAAGACTCAACTTATCCATATAATAGTGCTGAGATGTCAAACACTGCAGCACTATAATTTACTTATTTATTCTCAGTTATTTTAAAATAATATCCACTGAATCAACTGGTTAAATACAAATCAGTTCAAATGATGCGACTCCTACTTTGAATCCCAAGGGACTATGCAATCAGCATCAAACAAAAGCTGTGACCACACATGAGAACACTGTCTCACTGTTCCTCCTGGATCTTTTCATTAATCAGCTAATCCATTTTTTCTCTGCTTTTGCTAAAACATTCTCCTTATTATTCATTCTTTCTTTCCATCTGCCTTTTCTTTAGAAGAAAGTATAATTAAACCAATTGAAAAACTATCATGCAATGAAAGTTTGCCTGAAAAATTAGAGGACCCACAAGGTAATTTCTGGGCATTATTGATGAGTACACCTTGCTCTTTGAATCTCTTGTCCAATTTTCTTCTCAACATCTACCCCAGATCTTGTCACAAAAAGCCACTATGGAGGCCAAGGTAACCTGATTTTAGGAGTCAGATCAGGACTAAGAGAAAGAAGGACATTCCACGACATCAAGAACATCTTTCTTCAGTAGTTGGGACTCTAAGACTAATTTGCTCTCAAAAAGCTCTATACTCGTCTTCTTAAATTAATTATGACCACTTACAGAAATCAAGCAAATCTACTGAAAAGAATTAAAAGAATATTTTCTAATTTTGTAGTTAATATTTCTGGAAATTTTTTTATAAAGTTCTGAAACTCATTTATTAAGCATTAACAATCATTTAAAAGAAAAAGTTAACCAGGTTAATAGAGAAGGTGGATTTCCTAGAGGTTCGATGTCGCTGATTTCAACAGTGCTAACTATTGACTCCAACCTAAAAATTTGCAGCTCACAAGATACTTCAAATGAGAAAGCCAAATAATTTAAGAAGACCTAATTTTCTATGCATTTTTTCTTAGCAACTTCTTCCCCCAATAGGAAGCAACATCCTATTACTCTTCAGCACATGGCTTTTAAACTCTGACATATCCCTATTCTGTCACTCACTAGCCTTGTGATTTTGGACAAATCACATAGGCTCCCTACATCAATTTCTCCATCTATAAAATGGAGGAAATCATATTTACCTAGGTATTGTTGTATAACCATACCTAGGATTTTTCTCATACAGTAAGCATTTAATAAGTGTTTGCTCTGATGATAAAGAAGAGAGCAAGAGATATGTTAAAGCTGCTACTGAATGTGATCACTGCCTTGAACTTCCTTTCAAAAAGTCTTTTGAAGTAAAGGGCTGATTCTTGATTTAGAATGGGTACTCGAGGTGGAAAGAAAGGCCAAATTAGGCAAAATTCAGTAGTGTTAAAAATTATATAAACTGACAACGTGTTTGCTCTGTAAAATCCTTCAGGTTCTGATAAATAGTATTGCTGTTTAAGTGTCAGGAGCAAACACTTACTGAGAGCCTACTGTGCATAGCACCGTGACAGACATCAGAGACCAGGAGCTCAGAGTCCAGACTTGTGAACAAATAACACCTGGTGAAAAATGCTTCAGTTCTAGCTGCCAAATAAACAGTTCTTTGAAACTACCAAGGCGATCAGAGCCCTGTTACACCTTCTTGCTGACAAACTGGTCTCCTTTCTGGCATAGCTAGGCTCTTTGAAAGAGCAGTTGTATTCATTTTTCCTTATTTCCAGTTTGCTCCTCAACTCACTGTAGGTTGTCCCCCACTTGCCTCAGCTCCTGCTGGTCCCGACATTATCCTGGTGGCGAGGTCCAACGGCAGCACTAACCCCACCAGACCTCTCTGTCGCGTTTGCTATGCCTTCTTTCTTCACACGCTGTATTCTCTTGAATTTTCAGACTCTGCTCTTCCTATCATCAACCTCTCTATTCTGTCTCTTTCCTTTCTCTTCATGCAGGTGTTCCCTGGGGTTCTATTCTGGGTCTTTGCAGATCCCTGTGATCCCTCTGAGCTGGCTCCTCCAAGCCCACAGCTCCATAACTGCCATACCCTGATAATTCCCAGCCTCCAGGCCTGCTCGACCTCTGAGACTTGACTATCCCACAGGCACCATGTCTTTCCCCCAAACGTGATTCTCCTCCTATATTGCTGTTCTAAGATACAAACTCAGGGGTATATAGTCCTCTCTTTCCCTACCCCTCCCACCCGGTACACCTACTCAGTTCCCATCTCCATCCTCCTGTGATGGTCTTAGTTCAGACCCTCATAGGCTCTCATTTCAGCCATAGCAGTGGCCTCCTGACTGGTCTCCTGCCTTTAGATTCCCCCCCGGTCAACCCATCCTTATATTGACCCAGAGTGATCATTCACTAATAGTGATGGGGAGGAGGAGGATGATAGCTGACTTTCTTGAACACCAGATTCTAGGCTAAGTTCTTTGCTTATATCTCATTCAGTCCCTAAAACAACCCTATGAGAACAGGTTCACTTATATAGTGATTTTACAAACTGAAGAAGAGCACAGAGAGCCCGCAGGGATGGGGACTTCCTGGCAGGAAATACACTCTCACGTTAAGAACTGGAATCATAAGAAACCTGGTCTGTTCAGGGTGAACTCGGCCTTGGGTTCAGATTCTAGCTCGCTCACTTACTGTGAGAACTCAGGCAAGTTCTAAGAGCCACAAAGTGTGGATAACAATATGCCTCTAAGAGGGTTGTTATATGGACTGAGTAGGCATATCTGTAAAACTGTAGTGCTGCACCTGAAATATAGTAGATGCCAAAAAACAGACTTTAGAATTAGTAGGGGGAGTATTCAAAGTTACTCTTCAGTGCTTTAAAATATTCACCTTCTGACTGTGAAACTTTATGATGCGTCACCAGGAAATCTTGGAAACTATGCTACTTACAATCAGTCAGGATATATTCCTTCCTTTCTCAAAAAAGAAGTGGGGTCAGCTGGCCAGAGGATACACTTAGCACCTCTCGGTGCAACAGCCTCAGGTAAGAACAACCTTAGATACAGGTTTTGAGCGTTCTGATCAGAAAGGAGCTCTGTTAAATTTATACAGTCACTTTCCCCGAGTGACGACTTTTAAATTAGTCTCACTTTAGTAATAAGAATTCTAATTGTTTTTGGCAAAATGTCCTGTTTTTCTACCAAAGATGTGGTTTGAGAGTCTAACAATTATAAGAAGAGCTACCTCTAATTAAGTGCTTACTCTTTGCCAAACACGTGGATGTGCCATTTAATCCTGATGATGACCTGGTGAGGTAGATCTCTTACAGATGAGGGAACTGACACTAAGTAATTTACCTAGGGTCACACGCCTAGTACAATGGAGCCAGGAAAGAAACTCGGTTTGTCTAATTCCACCGAGTGTGCTGTGCTACACAATGAGATGTGAGAAGGTGCATTTTTCAGTTTCCTGCCCAGTACCTGGCACAGTGAAAACTTAATCAAGGTTGAGAGGCTGTTATGTAGCAGTTAACAGGCGGGTCCTCTACGGTTCTATTGTAGAGTGTAGAACTAAACTGTGGCATAACCTGCACTGGCTTGTGCTTTGCAATGGTAGGTATTAGGTGGTGAAGGGGTTTATTCCTCACCCTCCAATGTTGTGACTAATTAGGTCGCCTGTTCTGCAGTGGCGTGGCATATGACAGCCGCGTTCAAGGTCTTGAAATTGAGGGTGATGATTCTGTACTTGAGATAACCGATTATTTTAATCTGATTTCTTTATTAAAGCACCTAAAGTAAACATTAAGGCAGATAATCAGAAGAGTATGATAAGATACCCAGTTATAGTTTAATTTAAAAGTTGACTCCAAAAGTATTCTCATAGCCTGTCCTACCAGGATCTTATATTAAAACTCCTGATTAGAGGTGCCCATCTTTAAAGTTCACAGTATTAAAGCTAAAATTGTAAAAAGCACTGGACTCCTGTAATTTTTTATTTCTTACCACAGTAGAACTGCTTAAACAGTACTCAGTTTGAGTACTGTTTGAGTACTGAGTACTTAAACTGAGTTAACCTTATCTGTGAAAAGAATTGCTTTATCATCTCTCTGCTGAAACAAAATATGTTAATAAACATTTTATATACAGCAATAATTTTTATAAAGCCGCAAATATTTTAAGGCAACCTTACAATGAGCCATTAGCCATGGCTTAGCAATTTTTAACATAAAAGCAGAAAATCATAATGTTTCAAATTCTTTTATCTGAGTACCTGCTCTTAGAAAGTGCAAGTAGGTATTTTTAAACATATTTTATAAGATATTGAAGGCCTTTATATTATTAATTATTCTGTCAGATTAGCATGCATATTCCTGTTTTCATTTTTTTCAACTAAATGCTTTCTCATAACTTTTCATCTCTTCATTTACTCTGCTTATCAGATTTTCCTACAGGTGGAGATAGGAGAAAAGGTAAAAAAAAAAGTAGACATTAATCATTCTCAAGTGGTCAATGCAAATCCTTAGGTAAACACTGTTCTGTGAGAGATGTGTCTTCCAGTCCTGCCACTTGTGTGACAGTTTCCCACAAGAAAACAAAACCAGGTCATTACCGTATTTACTCAACTATTTCCCCTTCTCTCACAGTCTTCCTCTCCGCTCTTCTTCCTCACCCTCAAGTTTTGAGGAGAAGAGTCAAATTAATTTCTTTCTCCACATATAATCTCTCATCCCAAACTTCCCAATACCCCTCACCCCCTGCTCTGACAGTAACAAGGACTTTGAGGAGTGACTTCTTTCATACACAGCTGCCCTTTAGAAGTCCAGGGCCCTGGTCGAGGAGCTCTGCATACATTAACTGATGTAATCCTCCCAATGGCTCTGTGACAGAAGGTACTCTTATGATCTCCATTTTACTGAGGTTTTGTATCTTGCTAAAAGTTATATAGTAGTGGCATTGATTAAATTCTTAACTAGAGGCAAACACCTTTCCTTTAGCAAACATTTTCTACAAGAAATTAAATGTCTTGGATAGGACACAAGCAGTTTTTCAAATAAATGCACAGCAAGCATTACAGGGCTGCCTGCTCTGCTCTGGGGAGTGGTGAGGTGCCGTCATGGCCCCACTAAGGGACAAAAGCATTTCTTGCCCTGCCATGAGATCTTGGCTCCTTTGTCAGCTACGAAGTTCTTCACCAAGGGTGCTTGAGTCCTAAAACTCTATTATTTCTCAGAAGGGAATCCTAAAAGTCAACACTACCACCTTCTTGGCAAAATGATCCCCTCTTCAAAGAAGGTTTGACAAATATTGGCCTGGACACAGTTTCCTTCAAATGGTTTTAGGACTTGACTGTCATGACCTGGAAAAAAGCTTCTCTGTTTGTTCCTCCCCAAACCCCTCACTTCTCACCCCAAGAGCCTCCCCAATTGTTTGTTTAAGACTGTGTTTCCTCTCCCCTTCTCTGAATCACCAGGGCTTACTGCCTTTCTCCTCCCTCGCTCAACTCCAATCCCTTCCCAGGCTCTCTCCTCTGCCCACGGGGCCATTTTGACCTGCAGACCTCATGTGTGAGCTCACTAATATAACAGACTGATGCCTGTCTGTATTCCAGTAGGTTATAACTAAAGGGCTATTCCTGGAGAACATGGTTAACTGTTTAACTCGTGTTTCCTTAACTGTTTCTTAACAGTTAAGGGTTAACTGGCCCTTCTAGACACTTTGTCCCTGCCTTTGTTAGGTACGTTTTTATTGGCTTTACCGTTGAGAATTTTATGGCCTGTTGAACCACTAAGGGGGAGAGCTCTTGGCTTCCCTGACACAGCCAAACTGCACAGCATCAGGGTGACTGTTACCAGGCAGTTCCTCACTTCATGCTTTGTCCCCTTTAAGCTGAAGTTAGCAGCACATCCAGACCCACATGCTCCCAATAATTTCCCCCTATATTCCCAATTTTACAGTGAAACTGTAAGAAAAAAACAGGGAAGCTCATGCAAGTAAATATGGTACAGCTAGTGTTAAGTGTACAAAATGGTCAGACTCATTTCAAAATTGACACTTAGAGTTTAATCCAAGAATGACAGCTACCACACAGTGTGGAAAGACATTTAAACTCCAAATGGAAAGATCAAACATCCCTCCTCAGAATACCTGTGATACTTAGCTATCAATCTGAAGTGAGGAGGGGGTGAAGGAAGGATTGAAGATGTTCATGTTCTCTCTGAAATGATTTACTGCTTTGTCATTGGAGATGTTGAAGCAATTTTAGCTTGTAAATTGTTCGGATAACAATAAATGTTTAACAAATTAAAATTTTTATGAATATTTAACCAGCCAAATGTATGAATAAAACAAAACCTTGTGATGAAAGGTTTGGGATCCTGGGAATGGCTCACCTTTTAAAGAGATTCTGTTACCACCCATCATTTTCCCAATAAAAAATGAAATTTCTTGACTCGAAAACCCACATTTTCACATTTAAAAGAAATCTATTATGGGACCCCATCTGTGTAGCTCCAAGAAGCCAGAGCTTTATAGGATTCACAATTCTGAATATATTGTCTGTAGTGATACTCTGTCTGAGTATTGTTTAGATGTAACCACAGTGTGATTTTACAGTCACGTACACTGTGGGTTTTGCCCATGGAACTTGAACCAAGAATGTTCTTGGTCATCCTAGTTGGTGTGGCCTATCCAAATGTGATAGGCATTTCAGTGAACTCAAAGAAGAAATAGCAGTGTCAGAACTATAAACCAGCAATATTGGCTCTTAAGCTACTAATTAGAAAATTCTAATTTGTGTCAATATAATACTACACTAGAATTTTTGGTTTTAATATTAAAAAAAAAACCTTAGAGACCACTGAATTAATCTTTTAAATATAAATTCAAAAGTTCCCCATAAAATGAGAGGATGAATTGCTTTATTTTGATTTTGATAATCAAATGAATAACATTCTAATTTCTAATTCTGATTTCTTCCAGAATACACCTGGAACACAAAAACTGGTCGGGGGCAGTTTTCAGGACCTACTTACAATCCTACAGCCAAGAATCTAAATATTGTGAACCGCGCACAGCCCGTTCCCTCGGTGCACGGGAGGACAGACTGGGTAGCCAAGTACGGAGGCCACCGGTAGGAGTCTGGTGTGAAGCCCCACAGCATTGCTCCATAGAGTCCGTGCAAGTCCCCTGACCCTGGGAAATGTCTACAGATGTCTATTTCTACTGAGTTCTGGAAGAAATATGTGATAGTGGGTACTTCGAAGAGCAAAAATCATCTCCTATTTTATTTCTTTCCTAGAAATGAAATGCATTTTCTTAGCATCATTGCCCACAGTGCTAATATATGGGTAGGACTTTATAAAGTATTGAATAAACTATTTGCCAAAGTATCAAGTATTTCATCTACAAATTAATAAATACTAAGTACGAAAAGAAGCTTTTGAAAAAATGCCTCCAGAAAGTAAGTGTTTAGAGTGTTTTCGTTTTCATTTGTTGTGTATTTGCCTAAACTATTTAATATTTCATTGATTGACCTCAGGTTTGTTTTGGTTTGGTTTTTTACAGCAATTAGGTAGATCTCTGCAGGCTGTCAGTTATGGTTCTTGTTTGGCTAAGGCTCTACTCCGCCACTTTGGCAATGGCAGAAAGTTGGTAATTTATCATTTTTTTTCCTACTTTGTAATTATGAAAACAATGGTAATGCCAATCTTGAGCAGGATGTCTTTCTTAGAAATAAATTTTTCTTTAACATAGAGATTTCAAAATTATGCCACCTGATTTTAGTGGAGAGTCTATTGTTTGATTTTGACCAATACAACTGCTGTGAATTCATGGTGACTGTGAAACCCAATGGCTTGATGACTTCCATTAACCAAGTCAAGGTTGTCTCATCTTCACATCGTTAAGAAACTTCTTGAAACTGTGATGTGTGTTCATCAGACTTTCAAAATATGCTGTTTCTCATTCCTAGCAGACATAAAGATGGGGTGTGCCAGCTGGTTCCCCAAAGCACACTGTTGCTGCTGCAGATCCCTGACTCAGCTCTGACCACGTTTGCTCAGGAGAGCAAATGCATTTAGTTGCTATAGCAGTGATTTCACTTACTACATTTTTTTTCTTATTTTTATTTCTAAATTTGTATTTAAAATAGACATTTTAAACTTAGGACTACTCTATTTAAACCTGCCATTTTATGGACCAGACATTAGTACTGTATATTCTTTCTAAAGAATAATGTTATCAACTGCAGATATTTTTATGTATTTTATGACTTTGTAACAAATGCTAATGCAATTGGTATCAACTTGTGGACATGATCCAAAGGCACATTATAAAATAATATGGTTATTTTTGTACAGAAATTCAGCGCACCTTGTTGAACAATGTTAAAATCTAAAGAGTAATTTATGTTGGTTACATATATATCTATTAATGGTTTTATATATATATATTTGTACAGTTTTAATGTCTTAAAGCTAAAAAATTCTTTTGTGTTGCTGGGAAACTTTTAAACTCCAAATAGACATTAAAATTAATCTGGTTAACTAGTGTGTTTTCTTTACATTTTTAAACTTTATATTTATACTCTGAGGCCTATTTGTTGTTCTCTTCATTAGTCATTTTTTGTGGTTTTAGGTTTATGGAAAAATTGATTGGCAAGTACAGAGAGTTTCCATATACTACCTCATCTCCCCCTCCTGAATTTTCCGTATTATTAACATCTTGCATTAGTGTGGGACATTTGTTATAACTGATGAGCCAATATTGATACATTATTATTAACTAAAGTCCATAGTTTACATTAGGGTTCACTCTTTGTGTTGTACATTTTAGGTTTTGACAAAATGTATAATGACATGTGTCTACCATTACAGTATCATACAGAACATTTTCACTGCCCTAAAAATCCCCTGTGCTCTACCCCTTTATCCCTACCCCTTTATCCCTCCCTCCCTCCCCCAATCCTCTAGCAACCATTGATCTTTTTATTGAGTCTTCATAGTTTCTCCTTTTACAGAATGTCATCAAGTTGGAATCGTGCAGTATGTAGCCTTTTCAGATTGGCTTCTTTCATTTAGTAATATGCATTTAAGGTTCCTCCATGTCTTTTATTGCTATCTCATTTCTGTTTATCACTGAAGAATATTCCATTGTCTATATGTACCACAGTTTATCCATTCTCCCACTGACAGACATCTTGGTTGTTTGGGCAATTATGAATAAAGCTGCGATAAACATTCACGTGCATGTTTTTGTGTGCACATCAGTTTTCACCTCATTTGGGTAAATTCTAGGGAGCATAATGGCTGGATCATGTGGTAGAAGTATGTTTAATTTTGTAAGAAAGCGCCAGACTGTGTTCCAAAGTGTACCACTTTGCATCCCCACCAGCAATGAATTATAGTTCCTGTTGCTCCACATCCTGGCCAGCATTTGGTGGTGTCAATGTTTTGGATTTTGGCCATTCTAATAAGTGTGTAGTGGTGTAGTTTTTTTAATTTGCAATTCCGTAATGACATATGATGTTGGCATCTTTTCAGATGCTTGTCATCTGTATATATCCTCTGGTGAACTATCTGTTCAGATCTTTTGCCCATTTTTAAATTGGATTGTTCATTTTCTTATTGTTGAGTTTTAATGGTTCTTTGTATATTTTAGATAAAAGAAGACCTTTAACAGATATGTCTTTTGCAAATATTTCCTCCCAGTCTGTGACTTGTCTTTTCATTCTCTTAACAGTGTTTTTCACAGAGCAGTTTTTAATTTTAATGAAGTCCAACTTATAAATTTTTCTCTCACGGATCATGCTTTTGGTGTTGTATCTAAAAAGTCATCACCAAACTCAATATCACCTATGATTTTCTCCTATGTTATCTTCTAGTTTTATAGTTTTGCATTTTACATTTAGATCTATGATCCATTTTGAGTTGATTTTTGTGAAAGGTGTAAGGTCTGTGTCTAGATTCTTTTTATTTTCTCATGTTTATGTCCAGTTGTTCCAGCATCATTTGTTGAAAAGACTCTCCTTTCTCCATTGAATTTCCTTTGCTGCTTTGTCAAAGATCAGTTGACTCTATTTGTGTGGGTCTATTTCTGGACTCTATTCTGTTCCACTGATCTATGTGTCTATTTTCTCACCAATACCACACTGTCTTAATTACTATAGTTTTATAAAAGTTCTAAAGTCAGGTAGTATCAGTCCTCCAACCCTGTTTCTCTCCTCCAATATTGTGTTGGCTATTGTGGGTCATCTACCTCTGCACACAAATTCTAGAATCAGTTTGCAAATATTCACAAAATAACTTACTGGATTTTGATTGGGATTGTGTTGAATCTAGATCAAGTTGGGAAGAACTGACAGCTTGACAGTACTGAGTCTTCCTATCTGTGTACATGGACTATGTATTTATTTACATCTTCTTTGACTTCTTTTATCAGTGTTTTGTAGTTTTCCTCATATAGATCTCATGCTTATTTGTTTGATTTATACCTAAGTGTTTCTGTTTTTAGTGCTAATGGTGAATGGTATTTTTAATTTCAAATTTCAATTGTTCATTGCTCATATATAAGAAAGCAACTGACCTGTTATAATCACTTATTAAATCCCGGAGTTTGTTGATTCTTTGACATTTTCTACATAGACAAGCATGTCATCTGCAAACAAAAACAGTTTTATTTCTTCCTTCCTCATCAGTATACCTTTTTTACTTCTCTTGTCTTCTTGCACTAACTAGGACTTTCAGTACAACGTTGAATAGAAGTGGAGAGAATGAACATCCTTGTTTCGTTCCTGATCTTACCAGGAAAACAACTAGTTTCTCCCCATTACATATGTTAGCTGTAGCTTATTTGTTGATGTTCTTTATCAAGTTGAGGAAGTGCCTCTCTATTCCTAATTTGCTGTTTTTTTTTTTTTGTGAGGAAGATCAGCCCTGAGCTAACATCCATGCCAATCCTCCTCTTTTTGCTGAGGAAGACCGGCCCTGCACTAACATCTATTGCTAATCCTCCTCCTTTTT